GTCGGCCGGTAGGTGCACGAAGTCCGGGGCTGCTACAGGCTGGACGTACTCCATGGGGAAGAGCCCTGAGCGGCCATGGATGGCACCGAACTTCCACCCTGGACCAAGCAGATGGGGCATGAGCAGTCTGTAGGGCAGGGCTGGGGCACAGGCCCCCCCACCCCCTCCCCAGGCCTGGCTAACAGCGCTTTCACCCAGCCCCTGTAATTGGGGCTGTCAGTACTTCTACAGTGGCTTTTCTGCCTGCCCTTTCTTCATATAGATCGTGTCCAGCCTGACCCTAGAGCCGTGGCTGAGGGCTGAAGCCATGCAGATGCACCCCTCAAAGTCGCTCCTCTCTGGCTGCCCCCCCTATGCTGGTTCCACATGAGCTCCTGGTGGGCTGTGCCCAGTGGGTGCTGGGAGCAGGTGCTTGCCCCAGGGGACGCCCCCACCGCAAAGGACAAGGGTTCTCTCTGGACCCCACCTGGGCCTGCTCAGCTGATGGTTACCTCCTTTGGGGCTTTGGAGCTCTCCGATACACATGGATGACTGGGAGATTGGCTGACTCACCCAACCCCTGGCCAGAGCCCTGGCACTGCACCCCTGGCTGAGCCACATGGAAATGTGACAGCACCTGCCCAGGTAGGACTGAGCCCAGGAACTTCCCCCTGCATCAGCCCCCAGTGTCAGAAACACAAGCCCCTAAATTGGAGCCAGAGGAGGAGCTCCTTCCAGGGGCAGCAGCGGTAGGTTCTCATCCTCTCTATGCATAACACACTCAGGCGCACCTATGCAATGGTGGGAAAGGGCAGGCCAGCAGGTGCCCTGGGGAAGTGGTATGAGCAGCTGTGCCCTGCCATAGGGCTCTGGCTCCTGCATTTGGGGCTGCCCCTCTGGGGTGGGTTGGGGAGGAGAGGCAGGGAGACATCAGAGAAGGGAGCAGGGGGCCCAGGGGACAGAGCTCATGGGGATGGGGACAGGGACAACACAGCATGGCACTCCAGAGCCACTCACCAAAATCCGGGGTGCCACGCTTCAGCTCCTCCAGGTACATCAGCTTCTTGCGCACCACGTAGCCATAATAGTAGTCTGCGTGGTGGGAGAGGGGCAGGGCGTCACACAGGGCGGAGCTCCCTGCCTGCCTGCCAGGGCTTGCTCTCCTGCTCCCTCCTACGTGAAGCCCCAGCCTGCAGGGCCCGGTCTGGAGCAGACCCCATGCAACTCACCTTTCTTGGGGCGTTCCAGCGGCTGCAGGTGGACAATGTCGCCCTTGTGGAAACTCAGCTGGCTGTTGTCCATTGCAACGTGGTTCTTCACAGCGACCACGTACTGAGAGTCCTGCAAGGAGGAGAGAACCGCACAGTTGGGCTGAACCCCACACCAGGCACTAGGGCCTCACACACCAGTCACAGCACAGCGGGCACCAGCCAGTGGCAGAGTAAAATAGCACACATGGCACCCCCATTGGACAGCCCGTGAATACCCCTCCATGCTCAGAATACAGCCCCCAGGCACCGAGAGCAGAATACAAGCCCTGTACACAGTACACACACACACACATACATATGCATGCCTACTGAATGCAGACACACACATGCATACACGCACGTACGCACACCTACTGAACGCACACACATGCACACACACCTACTGTATGCAGACACACACACAAGCACCCATCCATGCACGCACACCTACTAAACGCAGACCCCAGGCTCAGAATACAACCCCACACAGCACACCCATGGGAGCCACTGCCAGTATCCCCATCCTCAGCAGAGCTGGTCCCACAGTCTAGCATGGGCCTACGGGAACAGTTCTGATACTTGCCCCACCCCAGAACAGCAGGGGAAGTAACACCAGCAAGCAAGAGAGTAGCGGAAAAGGAGAGGAGTGGATTTTCTCTTCCTTTAAGAGCTTAAAAGTAGTTCCTGGAGCTCCCATAGTGCAGTCCAATCCCAAAAGGGGTGCAGCCACATCACTGCCACTCCTCTAGACCCACCCCTGGACTCATGCATGTGGATACTGGACACTGAGCCCAGGCTGGGAGTAGAAGCTGGCATGTAGCAAAAGCAGGATGCCCCCCACACATGGGGGCAGCTACTGCCCCCACACCTCACACTCAGAATACGACCCCACAGAAATGCGCACTGCTTTCAGAGTAGGGCCACACAATTGCTCACACACATGCAGCCCACATAGCACACAACCGCCCGCCAGCTACACACACATTACAACTACCGACACACCAAGGACACTCTCACCTGGCAACAACCATTCTCGCCCACTCGAATACACCCTGGAACCGTGGTCAGGGCATTCAGACACACCACCTCTCTCCTTCCTTTTCTCCACAGCCCCCCATACCCTGCCTGAGCCCTCTGGGACCCAGGTCGCCCCGCTCTGCTCCAGCCCCAGGCGCTCCTCACCTTCTTGATCTCCGTGATGAAATAGTCAATCATGGCCTTCACCTGGGCAGCCTTGGGGGAGAAGAGGATGAGCTTCTCGCTGATCAGGTTGAACTCCAGCATGTTTCTGGAGGGCATGGTCACGAACAGGACGTCGGCATAGCTGGGTGCGAGGGGAGGACGGGGTTACGCAGGCTGGGCCACGGTGGGGAGGGACAGCCCAGCGAACCAAGGGATGGGAGAGAGCTGGGTGCAGGACCAGTTGTGGTCCAGGGGCAATGCTGGTGCAGTTAAGAAATGAGATGCCCTCCCCTTGGCACTGGGCTTGGCCTGGGGCTTCCCTGGAGTGGCTTTGTAGCACCAGGGGGACCAAGCCTCAGAGCTGGCATGCCCTGGCTTTATCCCGCCACGGGGTGAAGCCCAAGGGGGACAGAGCATAGTTATGAATATGCAGACTGCTCTCCTCCAGCAGCACCTCCCAGCAGAGGGTCTCAGTACCTGGGCACTGACTGGCTGTGGCCCTGTGCCTGTGGGCAGAGGTGCGAACATGCCTATGCGTGTGCGTGCACATGCTTGCGTGTTCGAGCATGTGTGGGCATAGGTGCAGGCATATCTAGATTTGTGTGCAGGCATGTGTGACTGCTTGTGTATGTATGGAGATGCATGCACATGTGTGCTCGTGTGTGTACAGGCATGTTGCTGTTCACAGCCCTTTGCAGAGGAGCCCTGCAGAGAGCAAGGATCTTGGCGCTAATGGATTTAATTAGAGCAATTACCTCCCTCCAGCACCTGCTGCTCCATTGGAAGCTGCAGTCGCACAAATGCTGATGCCAAGGCATGTGCCAGCCTGACTTGCCAGCATGGGGGGCCGGCTGCTGTGCACGGAGTTAGCTCCCGCCCAGGACTTACCTATACGTCCGCAGCACCCGCAGCTGCTCCCCAGGCATGTTGGTGCCCTTGATCAGCCTCAGCAGCTTAATGCCTGTGTGGGACACGGCCAGGATCTGCACCCCGGTCCCCACGCTGCCCTGGGGGAGGAAAGCAGGCACGGGACAGATCAGCAAGTGCCAGCCCCACCTGCCCCACTGCTGTATCAGTGCTGGAGCAGGGACCACCAGCCCTGAGCCCAGACGAAGGCACGGCAGGAGTGCTGCCCTCGGGACCTCCCTGGGGCATCATGGTCTGGCTGGCATGACACTGCCAGCTGGTTGTTAGGCAGACCCCGCCTGCCACCCACCCTCCGCCATCTCCCCCAGCGTCACACCCGCACCGTGGCAGGGAAGAGGCGGGAGAAGTAGACCTCCCAGCTGTCCCGGGCCATTCTGATGATCTCCTTCTTGACGCTCTCATCGGCAACGGGGCTGAAGGAGTCCAGCTTGTTGGCCGCTGCAGTGAGACCCCCCACCCATCCCACAGAGCATCAGGCACCGGCTGCCCCTCCCCAGGCCCTGTGGCCCTCCACACTGGAGCGGGGGAAGAGGAACAGGGCCCAGGGCTGCCAGGGGTCGGGAACTGCCTGGGCAAGGCCATGGCATTAGTTGATGTGGGGGGGCAGTGATGTCACATGGACGCTGCCCTTCCCATGGGGTCCAGTGTGCACACGTGGGCTGAGACCCAGCACAACTCACTACACCCCAGACCTAAACCCAGGTGGCAGCTGCCCAGGCCCCTGTGTGGGCTGCAAAACTCCACTCAGCTTGAGTGGGACCTGGCCTCGGCCCTCAGTGCCTAGACAGTACTGGTCCCGAGGCAGCTGTGAACAGCTGGCGGATGGGGTGGGAGAGAGCAGGCCGGCCCCGCCGCGGGGAGACAGCCGCAGGCTGGCTGTGCCACAAGGGGTGGCGGGCATTACCGAAGAGTGACCTCATGCGCTGGCGCTCCTCTGGGCTGATGCGGACGCAGGCGTCAGACAGCGTGTCGTTGAAGATCTGCAGGCAGGGGCCATCGCGCTGGGTTAGCAGCTGGATGAGCCCCTCCAGCTCACTCCCCCGTCCAGGGCTCAGCAGCCTGGAGCCCCTCAATGCTGCCATGCAATTTGTCTGCTGAGGGCAGACCTAGCCTGAAACCCCCCTCTCCTGTCCCCCGCCGGGGCCCAGCGGACTCCCCACAGCTGGTGCAGCTTGCGTGGATGACAGTGGGACCTCACCTGTCTGAAAATGAGGTCCAGCAGCAGGGGGTGGTTGAAGTTGTCCTTGGGGTAGAAGACCTGGAGGGGAAGAGCAGGGGTGCTGCCAGGTGAAGGGGGCCGGCAGGAAGGTCTCTGCCCCCTTTCCTCCCTCTCCCCAGGTTGCTCACGCTGGACAATGTGTTTGGGGTGAGCTTTCTGCGAGGGCTCGAGGGATGAAGGAGCTGAAGTGGCTTTGAAATGCACCCCAGTGTGCCTGTGCCAGGCGCACGCATGGAGAAGCTGCCCAGCGCCAGGGCGTTCTAGCGCGTCAGCTGCCCGCTGGTAGGTGCTTAGCCCATGGTGCAGGTAAGCCAAGTGGAGGGGCTAGGCGCTCTCAGCAACATGAGCTACCACAGCCTAGGTGCCCTTTACCCCAGGCCAAAAGCAGACACACAGGGAGCAGCTGCCATGCTCTGCTGCCCTGCCCGGCTTCGTGTCTGGGAATGGCCAGAGGCTGCAGCATCATGGAGGTGCATTGAAGGGTCTCCCCCGCAGATTGGCCTGCACCATCCTACTTCAAGTCACCTCTCGTCCCCCTTTGCCAACACAGGGTGGCTAGGAAGAGCAGCGCCACAGACAGTCCTCTCCCCTGAACCACCCCATCAATAACCACTGGGCCAGGCTGAGGACTCTCCTGACATAGAGCAGGAGGTTTAGGCTTAAAGCACCTGACCGTGGCCCGTGAACTCCTCACTGCACGTCTGAAAGGCAGCAAAGGGCCTGCCCAGCAGTGGATATGGGTGGGATCTGGTTCATGGAGCCTCTGATCCCAGGCAGGAGCGTCTGGATGGTAACAAACCCCTGGTCACAACGCCACTGCTCAGCTGCCCCCCAGCTGGGGGCTCTCACACTCCACGTGCATCCCCCCCACCTCTCTATTTTGCTGGGCCCTCGTCTGAGGCATGCGTGCAAGAACAGCCTCTGCAGTGGGGCCAATTTGGATGCAGCTTCCTAAGGAGAACAGGCACCATCTTCTCCTGTCAGTCGGTTGCTTGTGCATCGCTGCCTGCAGCAGCTATGGACGGCAGTGTTTTGTCACATAACCACCCCAGAGGTGGGCGCATTCCCAGGCTGGCTCTCCCAGGGCCTGGCCTTAGGCAGTCAACTGGGAGGTGGGGAGAGGGCCGTGCGCACGCTGTACCTCTTTGCGGATGTAGATCTTCCAGGGCACGTTGCAGTAGGTGTAGAACTCCTCGCTGAAGCGCCGGTGCAGCTGGGTCTGGATCTGCTCCTCCTGGGCTGGCAGGTCCCGGGACACTATGACTGCAGAGAGATGCCGAGAATAGGGTGATAGCCTGCAGCAAGGGGTGAGGGGGGCACCACAGCCTGCTCCTACTGCCCCTGGACACTTCAGGACTGAAGAACTTGAGCATCTGGGATCCATAATGAACTCACCCACCCCCCACCCTCTGCTATGATCTCTCAAGGGGGAAACCAAGGCACAGAGAAGCTAAGTGACTCGCCCATGGGCATGCAGGGTGTCAGTGGCAGGCCAGGCACAGCTCTGGGTCTGCTGTGCCTTCTCCTGGCGGGAATGTCAGTGCAGACGAGGCCTCCGCTTCATGTGCCCATGGCTTCTGGGAGCCAGGCAGGCCCTTCTCCCCTCGTCCATGCCTGCGTCCAGCTCTCTTGCATTTATAATGCACCTTCCGCCCTGAAGGATCTCAAAGCCCCTTTCACGGTGAAGCCAGTTCAGTGAGATCATTTCAGCCACCCCCAAGATGCAGTCACCTCTGGGGCAAAAGGTGGCAGATGAGTGTAACGCAGCAGCACCATGGATGTGTTGACCCCTAATGCAAAGCAGTCCCTTGTGCGGTGGAAGGTGGCAACTGTGGGCAGCAGCCCTCTGCTATTCCCTTTGCTTAAGGCTGAAGTCACCTGCTGCTGAAATGCAGCTACTTCTGGGGAAGGGGCAGCTGGGTAATAGCAGGTAACAGGCAGCACAGGGGGAGCCTGGGGGTGCAGAACATCCCAGCTCTGGGCAGGATGTGGTCTGGGCATCAGGCTTTGCCCCGGACTGCAGGGTCAACTCCTGCAGAAGGTACCGGGCCCTCGATGCAGCCAGGAGTGGGGCTGCACGATTCCTTCCACATGCTGCAACATTATCCCCGAGGGATCTTTGCTGCCTGATCTCATGGGGCTATCGCACTGAAACATGAGGATCACGAGCTCCGGTCATGTCATCCTGCAGCTCTCGTTGCTCGTAAAAGCCAAGCCCCTGACAGGGCGCGGAGCCCTTGGCCCTGGTCACAACAGAGCTCGGTGGGACCGGTGGCCCCCTCCCTTCTGCCGGGCCCTGCATGCTGCCATTTGCGACCACCTGCGGGGTCCAATTTGGGCTGCCTGAGTTGGGTTACGGGGAAGGCTGTGCCTTGAGATGCTCCCTGGCCCCCTGCCAGGCTCCAGGTCAGCCCTGGGGTAACTGATACCCTGGCAGCCAGCAGGAGTCTTCAGGGGGTGCAGGTTATAGTGTGTAAAGTGTCTCTCGGACTGCCCATTGTACCCGCTGCCCTCTGCCCTACAGGGCTAGAGGCAGGCATGTGACCCGGCTGTGGGTAGGGGCTGCTGGGTGCTCCCTCCTGCCTACAGGCATGTTCGCAGGGTCTCTGCAGGATGGTCCCAGCCAAATCACAGAGACCTCACCCTGCCCAGCCCTGCTGCACTTGGCTGCCCCTTGTTGCCTGGGGGCTGATGGCTGGACCAAGCCTCAGTAGCTGGGGGAAGCGTAAGGCTCCAGCCCTGAATGCCAGGGGCAGCTGCCCATCTCTATGCCCCGGCGCTGGTACCTGGCATTGCCACACGGACAGGGCTCCGGGAAGGGGCCAGCGTCACCCGGGGAGGCCTCTTGGTCACAGGTTTCACCATGGCCACCGTTTCCTTGGGCATCTACAACCCAGAGAGAGAGAGAGAGAGAGAGAGACCTGAGTCCTGGGAGGAATTAGGTTGCCTGCCCTGGGACACCCCCAGGTGAGGGGCATATGCGCTGAGGAGCCGGATGGCCCCTGAGAGGGGGAGCAGGCCCCACAGAAGGGGACATCGGGGCTCACTCTGCAGGAGGCTGTGGCGGGGCAGGAAGGATGACTTGCAGGCTCCTGCCTTAGCAGCACAACCCTGCTGGAGGAGCCCACAGCCCCCCGACCCAGCCAGGCCCCTCTACCAGAGTGGGAGGCGGTGGTGCGACGGCCATCTGCCTCTTCAGGATCATCATGGCTTCCTCGTGGGGATCCATCTTCTTCACAAAGACCTTCCCGCCCTCCTTCCTGCAGAGACAAACCATGGGGGGCAGCAGCTCAGCAGCAGAGTAGAGAGCGGGCTCCGGGGGCCAGGGATGGGTGCAGGATGAACCGCGATGGGACCCAACCCAGGCCCTGCCTCGCGGCTGTTGGGCACTGTCCAGGGTGGGCGCAGCTGGCTGGGTTGGTGACTAGGTGCCAGTCACCGTAGGGAGACAGGCTCTGGGTTGCAGGCACCTTGCAGCCAGCGGTGCTCAGGGCTAGCCCCTGGGCAGCTCTGGATGGGGCCTGCGCGGTGCCTGTCGTGGGGTGGGGTGGAAGGCTTGACAGTGACCAGGAGCTCACCTGAGGGTCTCTGGGAGCCGGGTGGGCTGCTGGTACTGCCGGATGATGTTCCTGATGTTGCGCGTGGGCTCGGGGAAGTGCTCCGAGTTGAGCCTGCTGTGCCGCACCAGCTCACCAGACCAGCGCCGGGGGGGTGGAGATGCTGCGGGCCGGGGGGGAAGCATGGGCAGCTCGGTGAGAGGGAGAATCTGGCTCCCACCAGCTCTGCCCAAGGGCTGGGGCTCTCCCATCAGCTCCTGGGCTGGGGCAGGTGACGAAGGCGACTGTCATGCAGCCCTTTATGTTGGCTGGGGGGAGAGTTGGGCTCCCAGGGGGCATGGGCCCTGCTGGGCTTTGACCCCTGCTTCAGCCCCATAGTTGGCAACTCCCAGCCCTCCCAGCAAAGCACACAGAGCACAAAGGGTTACAGGAGCCAGCCCCACATGCGTGTCCTGAGCTGGGATCTGAACCCCTGCCCTGTCCCATCCCCGGCTTCCCACAAGCCCAGGACCAAGGCCTGAGCCCAGGGAGATGCATGTGGGGGGTATCAGAGCTGGGGGGGAAGGAGGAGGCTAGTGCACAGCCCTTACCGGCTCTCCGTAAGGGTCTCTCCTGCATGGGGCCAGGAGCGGCTGCAGTCCTGCCGGGTGGCCCACTCACCCCCCTCCTCTGGAAAGGAGGAAAAACAGCCCATCAGTGAAAGGCTTTACCACTGGGTGTGTGGGGGCCCTGCCTGAGTGCCTTTGCAAGGCATGGAGGGGGCTGAGAGGTCACGTCACTTCCCCCAGCTGAAATGCAGCCACCTCTGGGGGGGAGAGCAGCCAGGTGGGCTCAGGGGCCTGCAGAACATTTCCCCTGCTCCCGTAGGTTTGCACCAGGACAGGCCACTCCGAGGAGGGTTCATGGAGCAAGGCTGTGGCCCTGCACAGAGCAGTGAGGGAGCTCGTGCTCCCACCAGGGCAGGCCCCTATCCGCAGGGCTTCCAGGTGGTCCCGTGCCCATCTTGCGGCTAGCCACGGAGATCAGGGGATGGGAGGTGTTCCCATCCGCTCCTCTCTCTGCTTGATCCCCCCACCTTCCACCCGTGCCCTGAGGGTGAGGGGCAGACCCACCTGGAACGGCGGTGCCAGGCCCGGCCTGGGGCTGGGGCTGGACACCCTGTAGATAGCTTGCTGCTGCAGAGCCATTGCTGGCCTGCCCATCGGACGAGTCTGTGACAGCAACACGAGGGGAAGGGTCACACACCCCTGGCCGGAGCTCTGGCACATGCCCAGGATGCCCCTCCTGTCTCTCAGCCCAGCGTCTCCCCTGAGGGGCCACAGACATGCAAGACAACACCCAGCCCCACTCCCCCAGGGCCACTGCAGTCCCAGCCGCACCCCGCCTGGGAGCAGAGCAGGGCTGGGAGCTCAGGGCTGGACGGAGCCCCTGGGGCATCGAGTCCAGTCCCGGGTGTTCGTAGGCAGCCACTGACCCATAGGTATTCAGGTGTTAAAGATGGAAGTGTCCCCAGACAGCCCCACTCCAGTATCACCCAGCGGTACCAGGACCTCTGCCCTCCCCACTGCTACCAAGGGAGTCCCCACGGGGTCAACCAGGTTCCCCAGCAAACCATCAGGCCCCCATTCCTGCTGGGCAGGCCTGCTCTGTGCCCAGGGCTGCCCTTCCCGTGCCCCCGCATCCCTCCGCCCCACTGACCAGGAGCCCGGCTGTCTCCCGGTGAGCCCCTTGCTGCGCCATCCGGGTCTGCTCCACACCTGCGGGGGCAAAGGGGGAAAAGCAAGTGGTGACATGGCAGCTCCAGCCACTGCCCCTGAGCAGGCACAGAGGAGATGGGTAGTTCCTCAAGCCCCTGGGCTGGAGAAGAGCATGGGCAGCCTCGGGGACTTAGACACCACGGGGACAGCCTCTGGCTGGATCCCTCTCTTGGCCCTGGCATGGTCCCTGTGTTGCTCCAGGGATGCTGGTCCCAGCCTCCTGCATGCCCTGCTCTCCTCCCTTCTGCTGGGGACAATGGGAGAACACGCTGGCTTGTCTCTAAGGACCTGCAGGTCGCTCTCCCTCCTCTGCCCTGCTACTGCCCCTCTGCGAGAAGCGGTGCTGAGTGCAGCTGAGCCCCAGCCTGGATTTTCAGAGGGGAGAGTCCTGCACAGGCTCGTGAAGGGAGTTAACATGTCCCAAGTCAGGCCATGAGTCAATGGCAGAGCTGAGCTTGGGCCCCCGGAGTCCTGCCCCCTGAGCCGGCACTGCTGGGCGCTGTCTGTGCCAGGATGGAGAGATTCGCCCGCACTCACCAGGCCGCGGAGGCATCTGCGTGGGGGCCCTGGCACCGCCCTGCTGCAGGTTGCTGTCGCTGCCCCTACCTCCTACCCCACCACCGCCCTTCATCCTCTGGGACATGACGGCCGGCTTCTCCAGCTCCTGGCATGGCAGAAGGGAGCAAACAGGGGTCAGGGGCAGGCTAAGAAGAGACGGGGCCCCAGCCCAGCTCCTCCAGTGGTCTATCATGGCTGAGGTGGGGCACAGATCCTCTCCAGCCATGCTGTGCTCAGTGCATGGGTAGGAGCCCCCCAAAGCCACCCCGCTGGTTGCTGGGTCTCTGAACCTCCTTGCTTCAGACCCAAGCTGGTGCCCGCCCAGCCCCAGAGGTAACCGAGCTCTTTCCTGCAGCCTGCCAGGATTACCACAGCCCAGCACAGCAGCTCCATGCAAGCACAGAACTGCCTGGGGCGAGTCTGCTGCTGCAATCGGTCTGCTGTACAGCCATTCTCCAGAGGGAAACAGAAGCTATCAGGACAGGACCACCCCCCCAGATCCAGCCCTGGTTCCAGCATGCCCCCATGTCCTCAGCACCTCACCATCTTTGAGGAGTGTGGGTGCAGGTGCTATGAGCCCTGTTCTCTATGTGGGGCACCGAGGCCCATGGGCACTAAATGACAGGGCCAAGGTCACACAGGCAGTCAGTGGCAGAGTGGAACGGAGCCAGGCTCTGACCAGCACCAGCCCATACTCCCCTTCCTCACTGGGAACTGTGGTGCTTACCCCATTCCCATAGGACAGGACGGGGTCAAACAGGCTGTCCAGGTAATGATCCAAGCCCTTCTGCATTCGCGGTTCACTGGAGGCATCAGACTCTGCTGGCAGGGCCAAGACAGACAGAGGACAAGTCAGCCAAGGGCTTGGTACATGTGTCTGACAGTCCCCGACTGCACCCAAAGCCTGCTGCGGGGTCCAAGGCCCCTGGCCACACAGGTCATAGCTGGGACGTGTGGGACTCCCTGCTGCGGGGCCTGTGAGGGCCAGACAGAGCAGCTGGATTTTAAGAGGGGCAAGGCAATGCCATGGCCAGCTTAACCTCCGTGGGACCAAACTTCAGGCTCCAAGGCCTCCACCCACTGCCACTGGGGCCAGGGTTTTCCTTCCCTGCCCACACCCTGTAGCGCCCGAGTGCACTGGGGAAGGGTACCTTTCTGTATGGTGTCAGGCACCGGCGACCTGGAGCTGGAGCCTGGAAGGAAGGAAAGCAATGCAGTTGCTGGACCTGGCGTGTGCCAGGGCACGGTGGGTACCAAGGAAGGGCAGCGAGTCCAGGACTTACCCTGACTGTGATACCCATCTGAGTCCACCACGCTGGGAGGCTCAGTGGGTGCCTTGGTGGCCGGGGGTGGAGGGACTTCCTCATCAGACTCCATGCCCTGGCCAAACACCCTGCAGAGGCCAGGATGGGGGAGACCCTGTTAGTCACTCTGAGCTCTTTAGCCTTATCACTGCACACAGCAGGCGACTGGCAGCACCTGCCGCCCCACTGCTGGAGAAGGCTGCAGATCCAGCATGGGGCTGGGGTGAAGGTTTGTTCCAACCCCACCTCTCCCCCCAACACGGTTGCTGCAGAGATGCTTCAAGCCTGGGCACAGCTGGCATCTGCAGCCGAGGGCACCGGGCTCCAGGCATTAACCCTCCCTCTAGGCTGCACTGCTGTGCCACTCGGCTCGTCCAGGGGCACCATGCACCAGGAACAAGGGGCTGGGAATCTCGGTGTTGCTCCCAGGTGACTGCCGGACACCCCCGGGGCACTCCCACAGGCTGCCTGGTCCCCCAGATACCTACGCCCAGGGGGCCCCCCGGCTCTGCTCCAGCCCCTCTGAGGCGATGAGGAAATACGACTTCTGCTTGGGGAAGCCGTGGAGCAGCTCCAGGTCGGAAATCAGGTCCAGGACGTAGTCATGGCCAGCCAGCTCGGCCCACTGGGCCCCGTCCTTCATGGTGACGGACCAGCCCCGCCAGCCTTCTGTTATCCCCCTGCGGGCACAGCACAGCCCCTGAGCCAGGACGGCGGCACAAGACAAGCCTCAGAGCCAGCCCTGGCGCCGGTACCCTGCCGCTGGCAGCCCCACGGCCCCCGGTACCTGGACTTGAGCAGGTCCGCAGCCACGCTCTCCCCTGTGCTCCAGGAGTGGACGGGGCAGGAGAACTGGTCGCCTGGGGAGGTCGCGGCAGCCCGTCACTTCCCGAACCCCGTTCCCTGTCCGCATGCTCCCCACCCCAGCCTGGCTCCACGTGGGGCTAAATGGGGGCTGGACCCCCAGGACAAGCAGGCAGCTCCCCCATGTGCTGTGCCCCCTTTGTCCGTCTGTCTGCACCCCTTCATCCTGCCCTCTCCCCACTCATCCCCCGATCGCTGTCTCCCTCCTGACCCCAACAACCTTGCCCCCCGCAGTCTCCCAGCCCCTTCCTGGCCCCCCAGAACCTCCTCCCCAAAAATCAGGTCCCAGTTCTGCCCTCTCTACTGCCCCACGGCACCAAGGAGAGCGGCCGTTAGGCCAAGGGCAGCTCCACCCTCACCGTTGAAGCAGTAGATGTCCAAGGCCATGTTGGCTCTCTGCCGGTTGGTCGTCCACTCCAGCAGCGATGGGGGGTAAGCCCGGGCCACCTCGGGCCCAAACCGGGATTTCAGCATGGCCTGCAGGATCTTGTGCTGGCACACGTACTTATAGCCATTGAAGGCGTAGTCGGACACGAACCTGTGGAGGGACGGCAGCTGCAGGGGGGAGCTGGGCCAGCAGGACTGACAGCAGCATACGGGAAAGGGGGTTTGCCCCCACTGGCCTCCACTCTGCATGGAGGGATCCCCATGCCCGTGTGTGGCACAGTCCTGGCCCCCGGCTACTCAGGCAAGGCAGGCATCGAGGGAAAGCAGGAGTGGCCGGGGTGTCTCAGGTACAGCTCGGTGCCTGTGGCGAGACCCCCTCCCACAGGCCAGCTCAGTGCCTACTACAGCCGGGTACCACCTCACTGCTTTAAAACAAGGGGCCCAGGTCAGTTGTGGGGTGCAGGGGCTTGTGGGTCCAATCCCTGCTGGGAGCCATGGTGTGTGCATGGACCGATGCCCTCCATGCCCACTGCGGGGTCATTGAAGAGGGCTCAGGATCGGGCCCGATCCTCCTCGGGTCCCCCGGGGAAGGGCACCACCACCCCATGCTGCATGACTGACCCGCGCGGCCCCGGCACTCACTTGAGCAGGTATTTCTCCAGGCGGGCGGAGGGCGTGAAGCAGCTGAGGCAGGCGGCCAGAAGGAGCCAGCCACGCTCCTCGTTGTTGATGTTGGTATTGCGCCAGACCTGGTTGGCGATCTGCACCAGGATCTCATCCCGCAGCCCTGGTGTCGAGAGCCCCTTCTGCACGATGTAGCTCCCAAACAGGTTCTCCCGGGGGCCGTTGAGGTACGGGTCACCCATGAAGCGCAGAATCTGCCCCGGGGGCAGGGGTCAGGAGAGATGGGGCACCGGAAGGCCAGTAGACATACTTCCTCCCCCTTCCCCTCCTCTTGCCCCGTTCCCTGCACCCCAGGGGACCTGTATGACCCAGCGGGCTGCAGCATCCGTGTACTGTGGCCCCTAGGAAGGGAGCGAGGCCTGGGCTCTGGGATGGCCCTGTGGATGTTCCCAGTGCTGGAGCTTTACAGTGGCCTTTCCTCTGTACCCCTGGTGTGGGCCCTTGTGGCTAGTGCAGCTGAGGGATGAGGGTCTAGAGCCAGAGCAGGAGGGGATGTCCCGGGCCTCCAGCCCAGAGCAATCTACATGGAGGCGCGGCGCGCCCTTCCCAGTCCCCAGGCTGCAGCCACGGGGAGAACTGACCTACCAGCTTGAACAGGCTGAGCGCCTCTCGCTTCAGCTCCTCGTCCACGCGGGTGAGAGGGGCCGGCAGTGGGACCGTGAGCATCCCAAACAGGGGCATCTGTAAGGCAAGGGTGGATGTGCTGAACGCTCAATGGCCAAGACTCCCACTCTGCTTGGCTCCTGGGGTGCCCAACCAGCCCTTCCCCCATGGGCCTGGCCAGGGGCAGAATTCACCTCCCCAATCTCCCCTTGCAATGGGGTTGCTTGCGGCCCATACTAAGGCCATGTTCTAAAATCCCACATCGCCCAGCTTCATTCATGGCCTGGCCAGGCAGGACGTGGGGAACAAAGCACAGCCCCTAGGCTGGGATCAGCTGCTCCCTCGCGTATCCCCACGGAGCCCGCAAGCAACTGGACCCTGGTTTTCTGAAGGGAAAGTCGAGATGAGATGCCCTGTCCGAGGTTACGCGGTATGTCCGTGGCAGAAGTCCAGGAGCCACAGCCCCTGGCTCTAGCTGCATGACCACATGCCTCTCTAATCACCAGGAAAAGTTCCCTCCTGGAGATGGGTGAGAACCCAGGTGTCCTCGCCCCCAGTCCTGCGCCCGAGCTACCAAGACCATCGCTCTCGCTTCACATCCTCCCACCTGGAGCAGGTGCGGAGGGGCTCAGCGCGTTGGGGCCAGGCCTCCTTACCTGGAAGTGGGCCTGCACGTACTTGGCCATGGGGTAGTTGTTGATGTCGAGTGGCAGAGTGGGCTGGGAGTCCGGCTGCATCCTGGGAGCGGAGCACAGAGCGATGCACATGGCATGTACCTGCCTGTAGGCTGGGGGGAAACCAGAATGGCTCGTGGTCAGTGGGCTCAGGAAGGGAAGGAGCTCACAAAGGCAGGGGATAAGCAGAAGACCAGCTTCTGGATGTGCCCACCCCCATGGCATCGCACACCCAGGGCAAGGCACAAATCCACCTGGGGTCATTTGGCTGCCAGAGTGGGGCAGGTTCAAATGTACTGGCACCCCTACAGCTTGGGGGAAACCTGGCATGGGGCTGCCCCTTGGCTTAGACCACAGCAGGGTCAATGCCTCTTGGGCTGCAGAAGCACCGCTGGATCACCTGCAGACGCTTGGGAAGAGCAGCAGCAGAGGTTCGATGGGAGCAAATGGGAGAGCTCTTAACAGTGCACAGCAAACCCATGGGACTCAGTGCCCCAGTTACTGGCCCTGGGCTCCGACTGGGATTAGCCAAACTGATGCAGGATGAATCTATCCAGGGCTATGGCACACACCAGCCAGGGATAACCTCAAGCTCAGGGCAGCCCTCACCCCATGACGGCTGGGGACCGGGAGCATCTGGAGCGCTCTGCACACATTCTTCTTCTGAAGGACCTGCTGCTTGTCACCCCCCAGAGACAGGACATGGGGCTGCACAGGCCTCAGGTGGACCCCATACATCACAGTTTTGGTAAAGGAGGCTTTGCCAGACCCTGGGAGCCCATGCTGCCCATGCCCCGCTCAGCATCCATGGGGCTTCGGCTCTTACCTGCCCCCTCCAGTAGCCTCACTAGGTCGATGGGGACTTCTAGGCGTGACACATCCATCACCTCCCTCTTGGTCAGCTCCTGAGAGCAGAGCACATAGTTGTTGGCCATGGCTCTGGATGCCGGTCCCCAATCCCCTCCCAAGCCAGCCCTAGCCCTAGCCCTGGGTGGTCTAACAGGCACTGGACCCCCTGCCTGCCACCCTCCAGGGACTAGCTTGGTTTGTGCTCTGAGCCCAACCCCAGCAGGGTTCAGAGATGGAGAGATGCCTGCACTGTCCGATTAGTGGGGTCCACGCTCTCTGGCCACACGCAGCAGGACGTGAGCCTGGACCTCTGCAGCGTGCTATGCCTACGCACCCTCCCCATGCACACAGCACACATGCCGCACCCAGCAGAGGTGTGTGGCCACACACCCGCACCCCAGTGCACACCTACACGCAAGCATGAGGGGACACACACGCATCCTGACCAGCCTCCAGCATGTGCGCACACCTTCACACAAACTTCTAACACATGCCCCCGCCTGAGCCAGCAAGCCTGCATATATAGTTATCCACCACACACACATATTCAGGTATCTTCCATGCACATAGTACTTGTACAGCTCCCCATGCACCCACACATGCATGCACGTACACACACGCACACACAGGTAAACTCCTCTACTCTAATACACATACTATACACACAGCCCAGCATATACATACACAGACACACACACACATGTATAAATGTGTACATGCATGCACACGCACACACACTCTGGTGTATTGCTTTACCCTCTAATGCATGTACTACACACACCCCAGCATGGAGGATGTGTGTATATATATCTGTGGGGGTGAAGCAGGGGGCTTGGTGTATATATATACACATACACACACATACCCCCCCATCACATATATGTGTGTGTACATACACGTCCCTGAGGGCACCAGGAATTACCTGCTGAGCCCTTCTCCTCTCTTCCTCTGCCCGCCTGCGTGCCTCCTCCTTCCTCTGAAACCAGAGCAGATGGGCATGTTGAGAGCAGCGCCAACCCAGAGCTGTGGCTACCTGCACAGGTTTGCTTGCCCGATAGGAATCTGGCAAGATCAGGAGAGGGCAGGGGCAGGGGCACAGCATTGCAGGAAGGCAGTGCCATCAGCAGGATTAGATTCGGGACCTCCGGGGGCAGCGGGCTGGCCTGGACAGCATACAGCTGCACTGGATGGTGATGCCTCTGGACATCTTCCCCAGGCCAAACCCCTTTGACAGCCGAGCCGTCCCCTTGCATAGGGGCCCGAGCAACTGCTTGCCCTGTGTGCTAGAGCCCTCACAGCTGTGTCCGGCTGGATGGCGAGGGTCTGATCCCCGCTCCCTGCACTAGCTGGGGTGTCTGGGTATTTTGCAGCCCCTGCATGCGTTAGGGACAGGTCTGGGCAGTGCAAGCTGCTGCCAGCCCATTTCCATCCTGACTGGCACCCCCCGCTCTGTCAGTGCCCCCAAAACCCAGTGGTGCAGAGGCCCCCTCGGCTGCCCAAGCCTGCAGCAGCCGCTACCCCCACCTCGCGGCAGGTGCGTGACTCACCCTGAGATACCTCTTCCGGTTCACGTACACATTCACCAGAGCCCTGAATTTGATGAGCGTCCTCCGCAGCCGCCTGTACCTCTGCCTGCAGCGAGCAGCAAGGCCGGGGGCAGCAGGGAAAGGGGGGCAATACCATGCTGAGCCCCCGGCACAGACGGGTGGCTCCTAGACCCCCTTCAAGGCTTGGCTTCCAAGCAGAGGGAATGGGGCTCTGACCCACAAGCACTGGCTAAGGGGGTGTAACACCGGGGTGGGCTAATGGCTCTGCCCTCTTTGCTGCCCCCATGCTCCCAGCGGAGGGGTTAGGGAGGGAGGAAGGTCTGGCAATGACCCCCCCCAAGGCCTGCCACCAGCACAGCTTGGGGCCCGATGCTGAGCCCAAGGGGCGTCTTTCCCGTGGCAGGGGGGACAGGACTGCAAGGGAGCAGGGGCCGAGCCCATCCCAGTGAGACCCGAGGAGAGGAACCCGCTTGTCCTGCCTCAGGACTCGGCACCCAGCCCCTCAGCACAGCCCAATGGGGCACCTGGGCAAAGGTCGCCCAGGCAAGGGGAGCCCCGCAGCCCTCTCTGCACAGGAAAGCACCCAGGGAACCCCATGCCATGGCCCGCACCTGGCAAGGTAGCCCCGGGAGCGACTCTGGATGAGGATGATCTTGCGGCGCAGGGAGTAGAAGCGCTTCTTGAGGAAGAAAGTGCGGGCATAGCGCTGCAGCGTGAGGGCTGCCAGGTGGTGGGCCCGGTCCCGCTTGCTCTCCAGCTCCTGGTACAGGTGCTCCTTCATGAACAGCTGTGGAGGGAGGATGCCTGAGCCCCTGACCATGGCAGCTTGCCTGGCTGGTGCCAGGATTTTGGATGTCCATGAGCCATCCCCCTCTTCTTGCTTGTAACCTCCTCCTTCAGCCTGCGGTCACTCCACTCCTTCCTCCCCATCCTCCCGGTGTCTGCTTCCCTGACCACCTTTGTCTCCCCACCCCTGCCTTTTGCCTCTGTGACACCAGGCTGGGAAGGGAGATGCGGGGTGATGTCAAGGTAGGGCTGTGTGGGCCAGTTAATAAGAACTGGAGGCCATGGGGGTGAAGCAGGGGCTTGGTACCACCCAGCCAGCAACAGCCCTGGCAGCAGGGACCAAATGTATGTGGCTGGGAAACCCCGAGAGGGGGGTCCTGAGCATCACGCCCCACCCCCAGGAGGGACTGGGAGTGTTCAGACACCTAAGGATGAGCTAAACGCATCCTTTGCTTTCCCACAACCATGACTGTGGGCATCGCCCGAGGCCTTTTGGGGTCTGCCTCATGACATGGGGACATTGAGGGGTGACAGCTCCATGTTCCCAGGTCCCACATCAGCATCCTTCTTCCAAGGGGCCCTGGCCAGACGCTTGTTGGTGATGAGATTCAGGCTAATGATCAGGGCCTGATTTTTATGATAATTAATGCTTGTAATCATTATCCTTCTCATGGCTAATACCTCCACCCCACCAACAGGGAGCAGGAGGATGGGGCCTGCCCCAGAGTGCTCAAGCATAGACAGGAGACAGGCAGACAGGCAGAGACAGACGGAGGGGGAGCACAAGGAAACAATGCTAGGGGGACAGTGTCATTTTTTCAGTCATGCCCATGCATATGCATGACTCAAAAAATGTTTCATGCCTGGACCAGCCAGGACTGATGCAAGCAGGTCACTGCCCATGCCAACCACCTGCTTGTGAGCACAGCCACTCGCTTGGCCCCGTGTAAAATGGGGCCCCTCGCCCATGGACAATCTCACCTGGGTGTGCTGGGAGGCAGCACCAAGCCTGGGACCCAGCCACACCCCTCTCACCCCCCTCGCCCCTTCCAGGGTACACAGCTAGGGGGAAGGGGCTGGTGCCGGGCGCACCTTGCTGATGCCAATGCAGTACATGCTGGGGCGTAGGGCACACAGCTGTCTCAGCATTTCCACGCAGTTGGCCCCATGGGGAGTGATGTTGCGCGGGACTTCCAGGAGGCACCGGTACCTGGTGGGACCCAGAAGCGCGGTCAAAGATCACGGCCGAGCCCAATGCTCTCCAGAGACTCAGCACCGGCAGAGAGGGACCTGGGCAGGACCCCCAGAGAGACGCCTCCAAGGCCTCATTCCCCTTAGAGATGGTCCCTCTGCTGAGGACCAGGACAGGGTCATCCCCCCACCCCATAACTCCAGTAAGAAGGTTTCTCTAGTAACTCCTCTTGGCCCTACCCCTGCCTTTTGTGTCAGGACACCCCCGCTCCCCTCCCCGCACAGCTGTTCCCCCTGGAGGAGCCCGAGGCCGCACCTCTGGATGAAGACCTGGAAGGGGATGCGGACCGGGAAGCCCTCTTTGCGGATGCGAATGGTCTCCAGGAGCCCGGAGTACCGCAGTTGGCTGCTGACGATGTCTGCCTCGAAGAGCCCCGGCTCCTGAGCCAGAGGGAAGGGAGGTGAACACAATCCAGCCAGACCATCACACACCGAGATGGGGCCCTGGGGGCCCTGCCAGCGAGGGGGATGATGACTGGTGAGAGACTTAACCTTAGGCCAGTGCTTTCAATGGGATGTCAGGTTCAGCCTGAGCTTATTTGCTTTGCTGCCCTGGAGTCCAGGTACAGGGGGGGTGGCTTTTTTGGGAAGGGGACTGCAGGAAAGAGAGAGGGGAGGGACCTCCCATGCAGGAGACAGCATCTCCAGAGCATGCAGCTTTCTTTAGTTAGGTAAATGCCTCTGGCAAAGGAGATTCACTTCTCCATGCCGAGCTCTTTCTCCCCACTTGGCCAGGACCCACCACTGCAGGTCTGTAGAGAGCTCACTTCCTACCCTGGTCAGACCAGCCTCCTCCAAGGGTGCGTGCATCCATTCAGGGGTGGATGCATGCTCACCTGCCCAGTGTGCCAGGCCTACAGAGAAGTACTAAGGCTTGTAGCCTCTAACAGCAGCCACTTCCGTGGGGAGATGTGACCCTGTGCCCTAGAGCAGGGCCTGGGAGTCAAGCCACGGAGCAGAGAGACAGCAAGGTAGAGCTCTGTCACCTGCAGATGCCAGAGATTGGCTCTATTCTGTGGAGTCGGGGGTCAGGGCAGGGGAGAAGCAAACATATTTGCTTTGGGCGTGGAGCAAAGTCAACATGCAGAGACAACGGGTGGGTTTCGGGGCATTGTCTCCTACCCGCCAGGAGGCAGCTGCTGCCCAAGCCTCTCGCCGAACAGGCCTCCGAGCTCTCACAGAAGGCAGGTGACACAGCACAGAACTGGGTGGCCCCAGGCTCCCAGCAGCTCCCTCCCCACGTACAACCTGCTGGCCCATCTGCAGGCTTGGGCACCGCCATGCTCGGGTGGAAATCCCCAAGCCAGCCCCATAGCCTTAGAAGCAGCAGGACCCAGTGGGCAGCTCCAGTTGGATTTGGTGGACACAGCTGTGGCATGCAGCCTCTTAGGACAGCTAGCCCTGCTCCCTTGGCCACCCCACCAGCCCATTTCCCTAGCCTGCCCTCTGTGCTGGTCCCAAGACCAGTGGCAATGGGGAGGAAGGCGGGTGGGAAATCTCTTGCTAGGACAAAGTCACTGAGGAATGGCCTTAGTGTTGGGGAAGTGGTGCTGAGCTTCTCCCAGCCCCATGCCAGCTGCACAGCGCCTTCTTACCTTCTTGTCATTGGGTTTGATGCAGCGGATGAAGAAAGGGTTGCACCTAATCAGGGAGAGACAGAGAAGAGCTCATCCTCTGGGGAATCAAAGCAGCAGCTGGGACGACACGAGGCTCTCTGCAAGCTCTGCAGCTATTATGCCCCGGAGAGTTCCCTTCCCTGTACCGAGCCAGGACCCTGCACCAGGCAGCTCTCTCCGAGGAAGCCTACCCCCAGCCATAGGAGGAGGAAGGATCTACTGGATCTCTCTCACCCATCTCCTCCACCATGGAAGTGCAATAGCTGGATACCTGCTCCTCAAAGCCCCGAGCTCGCTCACCTCTCCATCTTCTCCACCAGGTGCAGGAGCGACTGCTGGAACTTAGCCGCCACCGTCGGGGCCTTATACCGCCGCGTGACTGTGCTGTTCTTCCCCACCACCGTCTGCTGCTGCGCCAGAAGCTGGGCATAGCCGAAGAACAGGTTGGCCACCACCTGGCAGGGGAGGAGGAGGCGGCAACAGGAGGAAGACCAGTCTTTTGAGATGTCTTTGCTTCTGCAGCTCTCTTGGAGCATTTCAGGGCTTACACGTGATGAGAGAGGGACGGCTCATAGGCACCCAAAGTCAGGGGATGGTTAAAATACATGCCTCTCACACCTGCACGGGGGTGCCCTCCCAAGTGCTACAGTGGCCTCTTCTGCTCCCTCACAGCCCACAACCCAGGAGCACTGTCCTGGGGAAGAGCCGGTCCATCTACAAACCACACCGGTCACCCCAAAAGTGAGACGGCAGATGCATCTGTCCCTCTCAGTCTGTTCCCAGCACTTAAGCTTCTTGCGTGGACGTTAGCAGCAAGGCAAATCCCATCCTGCCCCAGCCTCAGGGAAGGGAAGAATGATGCCCCAGATTTTTTTTGGCAAACAGCAAGCCAACAACATGCTCTTCAACATGCAGTGCCAACAGATTTCCCAGGGGGGGAGCCCATAACAGCACACGTGACCACTACTTGGGTCAGTCCATCCATCGTAGCAATCATATGTTCAAAAGAAAGCTCTGCTGGACCCCTGCAACTGGTAGCCCTCCATACCCACAGCCCTCCCACCCAGCCACGGCAGTCCAGATGGCCCCAGGGGCTGGGGGTTGCTCTTACTTTGGTTCTGCTGTTGATGAAAAGGTCCAGGACTTCCTGGCGAACGTGATCGTAGTTTTTATCCAGGAACTTGTGCACCTGGAAGAGAGCAGGTTACTAGCACTCACAGGGCAGGATGGGGCTTAGGATTTAGTGCCCTCACCCTCCTCTTGTGGCCCCACACTGTTCTTGAGCAAGTGGAAGAGGCAGAGAATGGGTGGCTACCGAGCACTGCCCTAGATCTGATGCCCAGATCTCCGCGCCTCCGCTGCTCACCTGGTACGTTACTTTGCCAGCGTAGTGTCGGATGGTGAATTCAGGGAGAGGCATCTTTGGCTTGATGTACAAGTCATTGGAGCCGTGGTGGTAGTGACACTTCTGGAGAAAGGTGTGGTCGGTGGACTGGAAATGGGGCAAGGGGTGCGCAGGGTTAAAACTGGTCCACACTATGAGCTCAGAGCATCGCTGCTTCACCAGCCCCTGCGGGGTTTATGGCAGTGGGACAAATGGAGCTGGGGAGTTGCTGAGCATGGGGGACTTAAAGCTGGAGGTGCCTGGCTAGAGGGTCTTGCCCTTCCACTTGGGGTCGACCCACACCATACTTGGGGTCACGAAGGAATTTTATCCCGCAGTAAGGCTGGTATAGACTGTGCAGGGGAGGGTTTGTCTTCCTCTGTGGCAGGCAGGCATGGTCTCTTCCTGGGATCTCTTGAGCATATATTAACACCCTTTGGCTGCCATGGTCCCTTTGCTTTACCTGTGGCAGGTTCAGGTGTTATGTCTTGTGCTGTGACCATGTTGTTTTACTAAGGGGTTAGAAAATGGATTTGTCTGGGACGGTTTGGATGGGGCTGATCCTGCCTCAAGCAGGGGGTTGTCCTAGGTGCCTTGGGTGCCTGCCTGGGATGCATCCAGGATATCGCAGAATATTAAGTAAGACCCAGAACCTCAGCCTTGGCCTGGTCCCTGCAGCTCAGGCCAGTACCTGCCATGGCTGCTGGCGCATAGATGTGACCCCTCTTCTGGGCACTTTGCAGTGACTACAGCAATGGGACCCGGCCCTGAGCCCGCTGCAGTGGGGCTACCTGAGGGAAAGAGCACTGGTCATCCAGGATCCGGAGAATCCCGTGGGGCTTCTGGGCAATGAGGTCAATGCAGGGCTGGTTGTCATTGAAGGAGATCTCCCTCCACTCCAGCTGCTCCCGGATATACTCCTCCTGCAGGGACGGCACCCAAGGCCACGCGGTTTCAGAGCTGATCAGCAGGTTGCTGCCCCTCGACGCGGGCCATCCTGGGATAAACCGCCCAGAAGGAGCCCCGCGATTGCAAGGTCTTGGGGAACAAGCACGGGGTAGCACAGAATGAGAGGCCTGATAACCCCCCGGCCTGCCCTGCCAGCTCGGAGGCTTGGGAACGCCTGTGCCCTTCAAGCATGGCCAGGCACTGCCAAGGTGCCAAGCTGCTTCCCCCACCCACCTGCTCCTCCTTGAAGACGATCTTGTTGAAGAAGAACTGCAGATACTCGTTTGCATAATTGATGCACAGCTGCTCGAAGCTGTTGAAGTTGAGATCCTGGGGAAAAGACACATGGGGTATGGAGAGTGTCACGGGACAACGGAGGCACCCTGCAGACTTTCCACTTGGGTTTGGCTTAAGCCGAAGCCACATGCGTCTGCAGGTTCCCAGGGGGGCTGTGTGTAGGGTATCACTCTTTGCTACCAGCTGTCTCGCGCAAGAAAAGGCCCAAGACTGGGGGAGCAAAGGATGCCACTGGTTAGGGAGAGAATGGCGAGCAGGGGAGAGAAGGGAATCAGGCCAGGGAGACGCTGGGAAAGCTGGGACCGAGGCTGAGGTATGGCGCTGGGAGAGCAACGCAGCTGCTGGATGAGACCAAACCGCACAGCTTGTGTCAGAGGCAGCGTCCTGGAGCAGGTGGACCCCAGTCTGCAGGCTGGCTTTTCCAGGGGCTTTACATTTAGGAAGATCTGATGGGATGGCAGGGGCTGAGTAGAGCCAGGGATGGATCAGGGTGTCTCAGTGAGCTGGGAGGGAAGGGGGAGAGCCTGGAGCCTACACACGCTCTGTTGGGCAGATGCCATTTTGGGACCTGCAAAAACCCCAGCGGAGAAACCTGCTTCCTGCACTTTGATACTTTGGGTCTAGGCTGGGGCAAGCAGCCTGCCTTAGCAGCCAAATCCACCAGCCCTCCCAAGCAGCCCAGAGCTGCTGGCCAGTCCCTGGTGCAGAGGCCCCAGGCTGGTCTTGAATTAAAAGGACAGAACCTGGCAGGGGGTGGGGGACACAAGCCTTATACTGAGACAAGAGATGGGGCAGGTCTCTGTTGGCAAAAACCAATCCAGCTGTGTTGCAGGTAATGCAGCAGCTCAGACTGGCACCAGCTGGGGATCTGGCCTGAGTTAGGGGTTCATTTGCGTGTGTGTGTGCGCATGTGTATATGTGTGTGTGCGTGCACAGCGCTATCTATTGCAAAGCACAAGCAGGACCTGGACTTGCTGGTTGGACCTCCAGGATGAGGGAGTGATAGACATGGATCCTTTGTAATAACTAGGGCAATTATTTTGGGCGGAGGGCCGCTTACTGAGTTTCGGCAAGCCTTCAAGGGCCATATGACAGGCAGCCAGGGGTAGATAAATATTCATTTTCTAAATTTTTTAGGAGTCCTGCGGGCCGGATGGAATGGCCTGGTGGGCCGCGTTCTGCCCGTCCCTGAACTAGGGCCACACTAGGCCACACATTAGGAAACAGGTGAGCAAAAGAGACTCTGGGGCCACTGGGGAAAGCAGGAGGGTAAAGCCGTGGAAGCCACAGAAAAGGTTCCTGTAGCTGGAGATGTCGTGTGGGCAGGGAAGGGAATTATAACCTGTCTCTTGAGTTCACAAGGTCCTTGATTTCCATCCCTCTTCCCTCCAAGCCATGTTGCGGCGGCCAGCAGGCCCCGGTGTCAGAGTGCCCTGTGGTGCACATCCACACCTATGGGGCTTCCCTGTGTCCGGCTCCCACCTTCAGCAGTGGGAAATGCTCCAGAGCCCCCACAGCTATGCCCAGCATCCCTCATGGTGCTCTGAGCACCACCCGGACCTGTCAGGACTGGGATGGAGCCGGGCTCACCTCAAACCCGTAGATATCCAGGATGGCAATGGAGAGAGCCTCCTGCTTGGGGTAGACCAGCTTGTTGGTCCTGTCTGTGAGCCAGCTGAAGAGCAGGGAGTACAATATCTTGGCAATGGCGTCTCTGGAAGAGAGACAAGATAAGCACAGCTGCTGGGAGACAGGAGAGCACATGAGCTGCCAGACTCAGTGCCAGCCACTCCAGGCACCTGGCAGCACTCACTCCCACCCCTGACATCGCCTCCCAATCTGTCCTGGCATTGCATGGGACCCGGCTAAACCGTGGCAAAGCATCTCAGTGGCATTCAAGCTGGTTTGGAGTCCTTATTTCTATCAGTAAGGTGATGGGAATTGCTGGTGCCCAGCAAAGGGCAGCCAGGTGCCCCAAGCCGTGTACCCAAGGCACCTATATTCACCTGGCAGGCGGACAGCCCTAACCCCAGCCACATGCACTGCAGAGCGCCCTGGGCCAGAGCATCCACTGGCTTCATTTGCCTCCTCTTCCCTGATTTCCACCAGCAAGCCCTTGTTTTTTCCCCCCAGGCCGGCACCACAGAGACTAACTGGCTTTTGTAGGAAGCAGCTTTCTGTCAGATGCTTTGTCATGCCTCACTTAATTTTTCCACTCTAGAGGAAAAGGAGGCAAGTGATTATGTGCCTGAGCTGCTCAAATTTTCCCGCGTGGCTGGAGGCAGACCAGCAAAGCGGGCCTGCGGGCTACGGCCATTTCTAGCTCCATCTTGAGCCCTGGATGGTGCAAAGAGAGGGGCTCAGAGGTCCTCGTGCCTTGGCACCCAAACTAGAAAGGTGCTCTCAGTGCATCTCTGGCATGGGGCAGGGGCACAAGGAGAGGATGCCCTGCTTGTGCACCAGGCTGAGTCCGGGGTCTTCCAAGGAGGGGTGGTGAAAGTGTGGCACATGGGATGGGGCCTTCACCAGGGTGGGGGGAGGAGGAACAGCCCAGTGGTTAGGACACGACCCTAGACATGAGACACGCGTTTCAAAGGAGACACCGGTGTCAAAGCCTGCTCTGCTAAGGGATCTGCCACGCTGTATGGATCCCAACCTCCGCCCACCCCCCATCACCACCACCACGGCGTCCTGTTACCTGGCATCAACAGCACTTTCGACAGTGAGGGGGGTGTAAATCTTCTCCCTCAGCGTCTCCTGAGGAGAGGTGAAGAGACAAACCAGTGCTGAGACCAGTGCAGCCCTGGGCACGACCAGCCCAGGCCACCCCCTCCACGAGCGCTGCCCCCCAGCCTGGCAGCGCCTGAGCTGAGGGGGCCAAGAGGTGGAGAGGGATGAGGTGGACGGCCTCCAGTGGTGGCAAATGAAAGGGAAATCCCATCCCATGCACCAGGGAAGAGGAGAAGTAGTGGGAGGTGGGCAGGACCTGGCCCTGTTGTCCATCTCCTCCCCACGGCAGCACCCACCACTGCCCAGCCAGGCAGCTCTGCAGCCTCTTACCGTCACTTTGAAGGTGATGGCTCTCTCCAGCCCCTCCGGCGAGACTTGCAGCAGCTCGGCCACTGTGAGGATCTCCTTCGCGCTCACGACCGACGCGACCTCCTGGCAGTCCGTCTGCAACACAGCAGGTGCTGGGGTGGGACGCCGTGGGCCGGAGCACCGCACACGGGGATGCGTCCCCATCTCTGTGGGAGCACAGCCCCACACCCCCAGCAGCGGAGGATCAATGCAGCTCCCCTGGTGTCAGCTGGGCTCTGCTGATTTGTGCCAGCCCACGGCCAAAGTCACAGCACAGAGCCCCCTTCCTTTGGCTTGCCCTGATACCTCCATGAATCTGGCCACAGCGCCAGCAGTGTTTGGGGACCAGAAACTCCAGGAAAGGGAAATATTGAGGCCTGGGTTCAACCCTGAGCCACATCTGCCCTTGCTGTGGTGGGGGGGAGTCACAGCGTGGGGGGGTCTCACACTGCAGGGCATGTCTCGGAGACTGCCAACATCATCTCCGGCTCCCGGGCCCCTGCGCTGCTCTGCGCCCAGAGCAGGTTACCTCGTATTTCTCAAAGTAGACGTTCCCCAGGTGGAGGATGGAAGACAGGATGCGGAAGATGCTGTTCTGGTCCTCGATGCTGAAGTTCAGGTTCTCCATGGACGTCACCAACCGCCGGAAATCCTCGGCATCGCTCTTGCCAGAGATCTCGCAGTTACCTCCCTGTGCAGGTTTACAGCAGAGGACGGGGGGCTGGCAGGACCCTTAGGAGGCCACCGCTAGCCTAACCCCCCACTAATGGCAGGGTCAACCTGGTCAAAACCACCCCAGACAAAGGTCTGTCTAAGATGCTCATACAAGGAGACTCCACAGCCTCTCTAGGGAACCTCCCTTACCGTGAGAAAGTCCTTCCTGTTATTCCACCTCCATCTCCCCCTGGTTGCAATGCTTCTCCCGTCCCCTGGAGATGGGGAGAATAGACTACCACCACCCTCTTTATAATAACCCCTTTTGTATTTGAAGACTGTTATCAAATCCCCCCTTTGTCCTTTCTTCTCCAGACTAAATAATCCCAGTCCTGCCAACCTTTCCTTGTGCACCATGTTGCCCAGCTTCCAGTCATCCCTGTTGCTCTCCACTGGCCTCCTTCCAGTTTATCTACAACACCCGTGAAGAGCATCGCTCAAAACTAGACACGGTGCTCCATGTGAGGCCTCGCTGTGCAAACCAGGCACAGAAACTATCTGTACTGACCCAACGCCAGGGTCCCGGGAGCAACCCGGATGTCACAAGGGCAGGGACCTTGTGCCAGCCGCAGACAGGCATCGCCATGCAGGATCGTCTGCTAGCTTGCCGGGTCAGTGTGGGGGGCACCAGCTTTGCCGACGTGCTTGCACAGGGCCTTGCACCATCATTCCCAGGTCCAGCGGGGAAGCCTGATGGCTGGGGGCTGCCCACCTGGTTCAGATAATAGTACGTTTCTGCTTCCTGCAGGAAGAATCGCTGCTTCTGCTGGGAAGGAAGGCCGGCCAGCATCTCGTAGAATATGTGATAGTTCCTTTCGTCTTTGGCCTACGACACAATGGACGGAGAAAGCATTGGGGTAGTGTCATAGGTGGCCGTGGGGTGGTGGGGGGACATGGGGACTCACCTGAAACACAATCCTTGATTTCTCAAGAAGGTACTGCGAGGTTATGGCACCACAGATAAAGCCGCTGGGAGAGACAAAGATTAGCGTCTGGGCTTGGCCGTCTCAATAGGCGGACGACAGTGAGGGTCCGCTCGCACCCCGTCTGCCGCCAGTACAGGGCCCTGGGTGGGAGAGACACTCCCACGCCACCCTACTCCCATACCCACTCCATGGGCCAGAAGAAGCCCACGGGCTGCTCAGATGGGAATTCCTCCCTGAACCCAAATCAGCAACCAGCTCAGTCCCCTGCCAGAGTGATCGCAGAGTGGTCCCTGCCAGCCAGGCATCTCACCCCTGTGCCCAGCACTGTCCGGGCATTTGACCTCATCCACTGAGCTCTGGACTCCCAGAGAGGAGCAGCCTGCTGCCCAGCTGCATTGCGGTCACCTGCCCATGCCCCAGCGCAGCCAAGGGAGAGCCAGGAGTAGCCTCTCCACTTGGTCCCTGCCATTGTGCAGCCAGCAGAGACCACAGGCTGGCTACCTCAGCCCGGCACAGCGGGACTGGCGGTTAAATCCCCTGTGCTAAAGCCTGGTACCAAGGAGGGCCAGGCCTGAGAGTGGGCAGGGACGGAGACTCCTCCGCTCCTCCAGACGGGCTGACACGGGATCAGTGCACCCTGCATCCACACAAGGGCTTGGACTAGTGACCCAAGAGGTCCCCTCCAGCCCGAGAAGGCTCCAATGGTGTTTGAGCCCCCTGCACCCATGCATTCAGGGAGGTGGCCAGTGTCCAAACGGATGGAGAGACCGACAAGGACGCTACCGCAGCTGCTTTCCCAGGACTGATGAGAAAGGAGGCAGATCTGAAAGGCCAAGAAGCCCCGGCCTCACGTGGTGGTGGTGGGGCAGCTATTTATGTGCTATCCCCATTTAAAGCCCTTCATGCCCACCATGACCTCTGCAGGCTGGCGAGGTGGCACCAGCCCTGGGATGGGTCTGTGTCACCTGGGATGGCAGAGCCAAGGAGGAGGGATATTGCCCAGGGCAGTGGCTCATGCCATCATCACAGCTGCCTCTGCAGAGCCAGCAACTGCGTGGGCCTGTGCTCAACCACCCAGCTACAGGCAGAAGTCACCACTGTGGCTGAGCAGCTGGCCCGGCGTTGTGGGCTTGAAAGCAGACCCTTGCCCCAGGGGCAAGGACACAAAGGGGCAGCCGTTGCTTCGGAGGGGAACGGGAAATGAGAAGCCACGTCACCCGAGGGGACCTACCGGGGTCGCAACGGGGCAGCACAGAGGTGGGACCGGGGAGGGCAGGGCAGGACACGCGCAGCATGAGGAAGGGAAGGGGCAAGGCGTTGCATGCCGGCTTGGTGTTACTTACTCCTCCAGAAAGATTTCCACAAATTTCCCAAACCTGCTGGAGTTGTCGTTCCTCACGGTTTTGGCATTTCCGAAGGATTCCAGCAAGGGCGTCGCTTCCAGGATCTGCCCCGCCAGACGGAGAGAACGGGAGGGGCCGGTCAGCCTGGGGACGAAGCCAGGACCCTGGGCGACGGGTCCCTCCTCAACACAACCGAGCCAGCCGGCAGCAAGGGGATAACGCCCTCAGCTCCCCAGGGCTGGGGTGGAAGTGATGTCTCCATCCCCAGGCCCAGCCCTTGCCCTGGTGCTGACTTCCACAATGGTGCACAGCTTTCCGTAGGTGCAAGAGTACACGGCCACTGCCCCCATGCGACCAGGGAGAAGCCCACCGCCTCGCGGGACACCCAGGGAGACCGGGTGAAACACGGAGCCAAGCCACGTCAAACCCAAGCCAGAAACATGCAACAGAGAAGTCACCGGTGGCGGGGGAGCTGTCAGCTCTTCGGGGCAGGCTCCTGGCCAAGGGACCTGGCCACACACCTCCTGCCATGCCGAGGCCTGGCCCTGTCTGGGACTCGGAGGGGCTGCCGGCAAGCTGGTGCCTGCAGCCTTGGCCCATCCATCAGGGCTCCAAGAGGGCTCCCACCCTCAGCTTGGGGGTGGAAATCAGCCCCCCACGGTGCTCAGGGATAGGAGACCTCAGCCCGTGGCAACCTCTCTTTGTGAGCTCCTGATTAAACGGTGCCTCCACGCTGCACGTGGAGCTGAGCAGGAGTGAGAAGGGACCTGGATTTCACTCCTTTGAGTTCTTCTAGGCAAGCAATCCCCACCGAGCTTTGCAGAGGGAGGAGGTGAATGCAGCAAACTCCTAATCAGATGCAGCAGCAGCAGCTCGCACAGTGCCAGGAGCCCATGGCTGGGTAATGAAGGGGGTCATAGGGGTCTCAGCTGGTTGAAAGGGTGCTGGGGTCTGTAGCTCCCCCCTGATTATGGCTGAAGGCAGGAAAGATGAGCGAAGGGCAACATATGGAGCCAGCAAGAAGTTATTCACTGCAAAACCATGCACAAGGCTCCAGGCTGCCAGCCCGAGTCAGGCAAAGCTCCTCTGAGCGCAGAGCAGCAGGACTGAGCCCCAGGGAGAGGACACGGCAGGCCATGCAGCGCCACACGCACAACCGTGTACCTTTATCTAGAGGAGCCGGCAGGAAGCAGGGGAGCAATGGGAGCAGGGTCAGTAGCACGCAGGCAGCGAGGGGCAGGTGAGGCACTGCATGTGCTGAGAGAGCTCTGATTTGCTCCTAGGCACTGGAAGCCAGCCTGCTGCCCCCATGGAGCTGAGCCGGTTTGCAATGCTGCTCATTGCCAAGGGCAGCTCCCAGCTCCATCAGGGGAACCAGTGGCAGGATGGAGCCTGGAGAGCCCAAGCGCATCACAAGGATGTGTGGTTGGGCAGAAAACTGGAAGCCCTGGGGAGAAGTGGCTGCGAGGAGCCTGCGTTGCATAGAGAGAACAGAGCAGCTCCACCGGCGTTAGACACGTGCCTGGGGGACGGCCACATCTGCCGGGCGTCCAGCAGGCAGGGGTGCCAAGGGGGCGCGCCGGGTATACCTGGGGCAAGGCCCCTGCAGTGCATTCTGGGTATATCGGGGGAAGATGTCAGCACCTCCACGTCAAACACCCCCCACCCCCCAGCAACAACACAGGGTCTCTGGCGGGAACGCCGTACCTGCTGTGTTGCGCTGCGCTTCTTGTTGACCGCGGCCAGGTAACGCAGGATCAGCTTGGTGGCTTCTGTTTTGCCTGAGCCACTTTCACCACTGGAAAGCAAAGACCAGGCCCCTTCACGTGAGAAGGATCAGAGCCGGGCCGGCAGAGCCCTGGTCTCATAGGAAAACAGCAAAGTCCCCTTGACTGCAACGGGCAAAGACCCCGGACCAGGGGTGACTTCATCGCGAACTGAAGGAGTTCAGGGCTGGGTAAAGACACCAGGGGCCGGCCAGGGAGGAGCATCTCCCATCCTGCTGCAGAACAGGTCTGGCATGGCAGAGACTCTGCCAACCAGCCCCGACCCAGCCCCACAGGGACCCCCTCTCTGAGAGGAAGGGGCACGTGGCCCTCACAGCAGGCTCTCACCTGATGATAATACACTGGTTGCGTTTGGCATCCATCACTTTGCTGTAGGCGACGTTTGCAATAGCGAAGAGATGCCTGTGAAGGGGAAGCCAGATGTGGGATTGCTCAGGCTAAAACACTCTTGCTCTGCAGGGTCCCATCAGCCTCCCCTCCTGGTCCACAGACCCTCCGCTGCTTGGAGCCAAGCCAGCGCTGTCTCCCTAGTCGCCCCCATGGTCCGTGCTTTAGTTATCCACACAGGGACCAACACCAAGTCACCCACCCACTGCAGTGTCCCCAGCCCATTGCCAGGACTCGCGGAGTATCCCAGCAGCTGGACGCCAGCTCCCTGGGCAGAGGAAGGAGTACTCTCAGGAGCCACGGCTCCTAGGCCCGGGTCCCCAGTCATGACAGCCTGAGCTCAGGTTGAAGCAGGGTGCTCAGCTCTACAGCGCACCACAGTTGTATCGGCTCAGAAGCAGCTGTGACAAGCCAGGCGGTGTCCAGCCCCCGGGGCCATGCCAGCTAGAAGTGCTTACGGTGGGTTCTCGCCCAGCGCCTTCCCTTCGTACTGCAGCACCTGGTCCGTCCCGTAGATGTTGTACATCTTGTAGGGGTTCACGGACACCAAGATGCTTCCAATATAGGTCTGTTGGCGGAAGAGGGGGTGCAGAGGGAGAGCTGGTTAGTGGAGTGGTCTGGCCGCTGCACCACGGAAGAGGAGGTGTAGGGGCGAGCTGAGCCCCCGAGCCAGGAAGGATGATCAAGGTTTGCATGCAAGGCCAGAAGGACTCCCCTGAGCCCCGGTACCTCTCTGGGGAGCGTCCCCCCCAAAGGAGAGACACAGCACTGAACAGCAAGCAGAGACAGAACGGGGCCAAAACCCAAGTGTCCAGGTGTGCTGACCCCAACCCCACCCAACACATGGATCTGGGGGAAGCAACCGCCGCCAGGGCCAGGGCCAGGCCCCTCCGGGAGACACCGCAGGGCCCCGTACAAAGCTCCGAGTCCCTCCCGCCGCTGGGAACGTACGTAGATCAGCTCGTGCTCAAACCTCTTCCTGATGTTATACAGCACCACGAACTCCTGCAGGTCCCTGCAACAGAGCACAGACCCGTTGTCGCCCCCAGCAAAGGCAGCTGATGGCCAGAAAACCCTATGGGCAGGAACCCGGGCACCCGGGCTCAGCTCATGGCTACCCAGGTGGGGGCGAGGGAATCCACCCCAGGCAGGCGGTGGCAAGTGGAGATGGCCAGAGAGGCTGGCAGCATCTTCTAGGGGGTCAGAGGAGCTGCCGTGCATCTGCAGGAGCTGGTCACAGCAGCGGGAGGACTGTGTCTGTAAGTTGGTGCCTGGGGATGCCACCGTGCATGGTGCTGTACCTAGATGCAGGGAGAGGCAGCCTCTGCCCACGGCGCTTGCCATGTCAGTAAACAAGGGACACGGGGGCTGCGGGGAGAGGGCTGTGACGTGTCCAGGATCACACAGGAGATAGGGGGCAGAGCTGTCACGCTGCTGTAGCCCCGACAGCTCCCAGGCTTGCACCCTGGGCCCCGTGTCCCCACTGGGACCAGCCGCCTGCACCTGCCCGTCACTCACTCCAGCTGCGTCATGTCCTCCACGCCATCCTCTTCCCGGCACTCCCGGAACAGGTAGGGCAGGTGGCGGATAGCGTGCATCTGTGCATGGACGGTGGGACACGTGGTTACAAGAGGGGCCAGGGGCACACGCAGGGGTGGGTTGGGGGGTGCGCCGGCCATGACTCGGTGCTGCGCTCCAACAGTGGTTGCTCCCCGGCAGGGCAAACTGAGCATGCAGAGCTGGGGGCAAGGTGGGGTGCTCTGCAGCAACCCCTGCGGAAAGATGCAACCAGAGGGGGAGAACGAACCCCACCTGCTCCCCTGCTGTCAGGGCCCTTCGTTGCATGAGCCCAGCCCATGCTTGCTAGGGGACAGGCCAGCTAGGCTGCAATGGGGAGGGGGCACCAGGCACCGAAGTGAGGACGAGGCATGGAACGAGCAGGGGGAGATGCGAGGAGCCCTGGCTAGTGCTGGAGCAGCTGTAGGGACACGCATCCCTGCTCCATCCTGCAGGACTCAGCCAGGGGCCGGAGAGGGACGTGAGCAGGAAGAGGGCAGGGCACTGCTCCAAGGGTTGAAGCCCGGGGTGCTGCACCCCAGCCCAGCTCCCGCTGGCTCTAGCCCACCCAGGGCTCTTCCCTGCACCATGTCGGTCCTCAGCACTGCACACACGAGCACAGAGCCGGGCACGGCCCAGACAGGCCACGCTGCAGGTGCGGGAGCCCCTGGGAGTCAAGGAGCCGTGGCTCTCCTTCCCCAGCCAAGGCTGGGTCACACCCTTGGGCCCATTCTCTTGCGCTCTGTCTAAAGGGCCCTAAACGCCTCCAGCAGCATCGGTTGTAGCCATGGAGCACCGGCTCCTCTATGAAAAGCCAAAGTAACTAAGAGTCAGTGGCTTCGCAAGGCCAGGCAGTAACCACGGGAGCGTTTCAATGACCACAGGAGCCACCTGGAGGGAGTCCAGCCCGCGCCGGCTGGGGCCGGGCAGGCAGCGCCCAGGTAAGCGTATCCCAGCACAAGGTGAGGCGGGCTGGGGGCAGGGGGTGCATGCGATCCCTGCCAGCCCGCGCCTGCCAAGAGTCGTCCTAGCCTAATTAAATCTCTCCTCCTGTTCCAGCGCAGCGCCTGCCCGCAGATCAGGTCCCCGCATTTGCATTCGGTGCTGTCGTCCCACACCTAGGACAGAGGTCACGCGTCTCCCGGTAACCGCGTGTCCTGGATGCCCCCGCAGCGGTGGGGAGGGCTCGGGGCTTTTGGGAGCAGCCAGCGCCTGCTGGGTTTGCTCAGCCCAGCTCCCGCGCTGGGCCTGGGCAGCTGGGGGCAATGGGCTGCGAGTGGCCATGCCAGCCCCAGGAGGACACAGGTCCCCTAGGTCTTCTGCCCTACTGAGCACCACCGTGCCCCCCCACTACAGTCCAGCCATCACAGGCTGGATTAGTGCCCACAGCCCAGGCAGCAGGGGAGACCCAGCCTACAATGGATGGTTTGTGGGATAAGACGCTTCTGAACTCTCATGTCCGAGGGCGGCTCGCAGGCAAGAGTGGAGAGCAGCACCGCTGGGCTCCTGGCTTCCTGGAGCTGCCCTGGTGCTAGCTCCCCATCAGCACCCCTTGAATGGGGATGGGGTGAGGGCAGGGGGGTGGCTCAGGGCACTGCCAAGAGCAGTACGGTAACCCCATGAGCAGGCAGGATCTGATTGCAACCCCTCGTATCCTTGCCGGCTTCACAAAGCAACCGGCCGCCTCTCTGAGCAACGCAGAGCGTACAGTGCACCATTGCCTCCAACGCTGCTGAGCGTAGTGTGGAGGCTCTGCCACCGCGCCCCCGTGACTCACGCATCGGCACCAGGGCCGGTCCCAGCCCCTGGGAGTTTGCACTCCCCCACCAGGGGTGTTAGCTGGCACCGAATCGGTGCACACCCCCGGGGACCCTTGCAGGGCAAAGCCCTGAGGCTGAAGCCTGCCCTCACTGGCCCCGCAAGTAGCACCGACATTACCTTCTTGGCCCAGGCCAGCCTCTTGCCCCCAATGACCACGGGCCAGCGGCTTCCATCTCTCCGAGCGGGCAGCGAGGCATGGCGAGTCAGGTGTCCAGATGCGGTGCCCCCTCGGCCACCCCTTCCTCCTCCTCCTCCTCCTCCTCGCTGGCTGGCCCACCGGCGGGTCTCGCTGGGCAGGTGGCGGACGCCGCTCTCCGAGCACCAGACGCTGGGCATCTCGCGGATGTGCACCGTGTGCTGGTTGGACCAGTGCTGCTTGTAGCGGTGAGACGCCCGCTGGAAGGAGCTCAGCCGCTGGATCTGCGGCGTCACCACCGCGTACCGCCCTGCGCCCTCATCCGTCAGCAGGTCCTCGTTCACGTACACGCCCGGCGGCTCGTAGTCCTCCGGCACGGAGGGGGCCCAGCTGAAGGCCTGACCGAGCCTGGGCGACGGCGTGGGGGATGCTGGCTTCTGAGAGGGTCCCTGCGCAGGGGGGCACCTCAAGTGCTGCGGGGAGCTGGCACCCGGCTGTCCAAACCGCTTCAGGAAAGGGTTCCCCCTGGGCGCTGCACCCCAGCTCGCCCGGGGCTGCCCGTCCTGCTGCAGAAAGGGGTTGTGCGTGGTGGGGTCTGCGTCGGCTGCCCGCAGCACGTCCCAGGCCCTCGGGACCACCTCTCCGTCCCGCACAGAGGCCTTGCTGCCGGTGGGCCCGTAGTCCTCCAGGACGGCGGGCACCCACTCGTGGGCCGACTTGGGAGCCTCCTGGATGGTAACGCGCCGCCCGCCTTGACCCGCCAGCATCTGCGAGGAGGGGGTCTGGCCAAGCTCGCGGGGGGACAGGGAGCCGGGGGGGCGGCCCAGCTGCTTCATGAACTGGCTCCTTATGACAGGCTTCACGGCCTTGGTGGGGGGCTCCGTCTGCCTGTTCCACGCCTGGGGGAGCAGCGACGCGTGGCTCACGCTCCTCCCCGCGGCAGGAAAGGAGCCGGACTGCCGTGGGCGCAGGCGAGGCGGCGCGGAGGCGACCGGGAAGCCTGAGCTGAGCGCGTCTGCGGCGAAACGCAGCAGGCCGGTTTTGAGGGGCGCCTGCCTGTCGCTCCGCAGGCTTCTGGCACACCTCGGCGCGGGCCGCGGGGAGGAGACGCGCTGGCTCATGAAACGGTCATGAGCTGCCACGCACAGGAAGGTGGAGTCTCTCCGTGCCGGGGCCCCAGTGGGGTTGGGCCCCCACGAGGCGGAGAAGGAGGAGGACGCCCCGTCTCGGGCCCCGATGGGCCTGCTCGGCGAGGGAGAAGGGGCAGCGGAGGAGCCCGCGGTCCGCACGAGGGAGCGCAGGGATGGAGGGGGACCGCGGGGTCCCGGCTGCGTCCTGGAGCCGGAGTCTGGTGAGGGGCAGCGGGCCTCGCTCTGCCGGGCAGGCTGCGGGGAAAGCCGCTGGGCGTTGTTATTATTGCTGTGCCCGAATTTTCTCAGCGGCGGGTCCAGGGCCCCCATGCCAGCCAGTTTGTGGCCAAAGCGCTTGTAGGCCGGCTCGGCCGCCGGGGGCCGGCGCGGCGGGTCGTCCTGGGGGATGTCGAACCGCCTCACGGCGAGCTGAGCCGACGGCGACCGGCCCGGCTTGGGGGAAGACGTGGCGCTCGGCCTGGCCGAGGGCTGCGGGGACGACGCCTGCCTCTGAGCGAACAGCGAGGAGACCACCCGCCGGAAGGGAGCCGGCGTGGGGGGCCTCTCCTTCGCCTCCGGCCCCCGGTGCTTCAGGATGGGTTTGGGCTGGGAGAGGGACTTCAGTAAGAACTGGCCCAGGGGGCTGCTCCCGTATTGCCTGGCCGGCGCGTCGGGAGCCCGCGTGCCCGGCAAGCTGCCCGGGTGGCCCCCGAACGGGCTGAAGGGCGCGGCGCGCGGCTCGTAGGGGTTGTAGTCGTCCTCCTCTTGCTGCAGGTGCGGGGACGGCGGGAGGGTGACGTCCAGCTTGTCTTGGCCGAACAGCTTCACCTGCGGCCTGGGGAAGAGCCGGAACTGCCTGTTCAGCGGCAGCCGGGAGGGCAGCACGTCCTCGGGGCCCGGCTCCTCGAAGAAGGGATAATCCCCATCCCCGTTCTCTGCCTCCTCCAGCTCCAGGATGTCGTCCAAGGGGTAGGCGTAAGGGTTGTAGGAAGCCTGAGCATGAGGCGCCCACGCGTAGTCGTCGTAACCTGTTTCACCCGGAGGGTAGTCGTCATCTGGGTACCCCGTGTCCTCGGCCCCCGGGCCGTAACTCCCACTGGGGGCACTGTACTGGTCCTCGTAGTAGCCGTCCAGCCCCGCCTGGTCCTCGTAGTAGTCCGCGTCCCCCCCGTAGTGGTCGTAGGGCTCGTACAGGGAGTAGCGGGCCGGGGCCGCGGCGCTCTGGTCTTCGTACTCCTCGTAGCCGTACTGGCTCTGCAGGGGGTCATCATAATAGTCCCCGCCGTGCGCGTACAGCCCGTACTCGTCTTCCACCTCCTCGCCCGGGTAGGTCTCAAAATTTGACGCCCCTCCATACCCGTCCCCATAACTGCCTGGTGCCTGGAAGTAGCTCTCCTCATCCGGGTAGCCATACGGCACTGGGGGGCTATAGGAGCCGCCTGCTCCTTGGCGGTAGCCATGGTACGGCGAGGGCTCGGGGAAGTCCTCGTACCCGCTCGCCCCGCAGTGCATGTAGTGCTTGGAGGGCCCGCCTTGTCCCAAACCTGCCTGGTGCCCGCAGTCCTCTCCCCCGGGCCCGTAGAGACTCTGCCCTCCGGAAAGACGGTGCAGGCTGGCCCGGTGCCGCGCGAGCTCCTCTTCGGAGGTGATGGGGAGCTTCTTGGCCCCGATGCGGGACAGGCGGCGCTGCGTGGCGGACCTCTCCTGGGAGGAAAGCCGGTCGTCCTCTTTGAAGAGGAACTTTCTGGTCAGCCAGCTAGTGGCGGCCGACACTTTGCTCAGGATCTGAGCTCGGGGCTTGAATTTCTCCTTTGTTGCGGGAGGGAGCGGGCTGCCAGAGGACCCGGCGCCCTCCTCAGCTTTCCCTCCCAGCTTAATCAGCAGGTAGGAAGGTTTCTTTGGGCTCCTGCCAGGTTCTTCTTTCTGCTTCTTCCCCAGGCCCTTAAAGCGCACCATCAGGTTGGAGGTGGATTTCAGCACCGCCTTGTTCTTGGCCTTCCTCCTCTTCTTCGTGCTGCTTTTGTTCAGCCCCCAGAAGAACCGGGAGGCGTTTTTGAACTGGCCCTTCTTGGAGGGCTTCGGCCCCTTCTTCTTGAAACCCAGGAAGAGCTTGGACGTGCTCTTCAGGCTCCTCTTCGGCTTCAGCGCGGCCTCCTCCTGGGCTGGCTCGGCCTCCTCCTTCGCCGGCGCGGCCTCCTCCTTCGCCTCCTTGCCAGCCCTTTTCAGCTGGCCTTTGCCAAAACCTTTCTTGGCCCCTTTCTTCCCCTTGGCATCGGCCAGCTGGAAGACACCTTTCTTCTTCGTTTTCTTATCGGAGTCATCTTCTGCCTTGGCCCCCTCCTTGCTCTCCTCTTCCACCTGCCCCTTCTTCCCCTTGCCCAGCTTCTTGCCGGCAGCTCTGGCAGCTGCTCCCTTTTTGTCCTTCCCTTTCTTCTTTTTCGGGTCCTCCTCCACTTCCTCTACCGCTTCCTCGGCCACTTCCACCGGCGCCGCCTCTGCCTGTTCTTCGTCCCCCTCCACGGCATCACCCTTCGTCAGCTCGGTGTCTGACGCCTCCTCCGGCTCATCGACCTCATCCTTCTTCCCCTTCTTCCCTTTGCCCTTGGCCGACTCCTTCCCTTTGCCCCCTTTGGCATCGGCTTTCGCTCCCTTGCTCTCCTCCTTGCCTTTTTTGCCAGCCATGTTGGGGCTGCTGCGGGTTCATGCTCCAGTGCCCGGGCACGGCCTCCCCATACGTCACCCGAGCAGGGGGGCGGTTTAGAGCCGCGTCGATGCGGGAGGTCGCCCCTGCCCGTGCCGCTCCTTTGAGCAGAGGAGGTGGGGACGAGGGTTCAAAGCCCCACGCTCGTGCTGTGCAGATGCCTCCGCGAGCCGCTCAGACGGTCTCTTTAGCAGCGCGAGGACGGCGCCTTTTCTGGAGCAGCGACAGGAAACGGGGGCTTGGCTTGATTTACCTTTGTGGGGTTCCAGCGAGGCGGGCACCATCCATGCTCCCCAGGCACTGACCTTCTTCACTCACTTGCAAATGCTAACGCGCCGCCTGGCCGGCGGTGACATCTTCCCCTGAGAGCCGCGGCCTCTTCGGAGCATCCTCAGGCAAACCCGGTCCTCATCTCTCTGGGACAGCCATCGCCTTGGGGCCCTGAGGCGTCCCCCCGGCCAGGACTCCTCGGCCCAGCCCACAAGGCGCTGGCTGCCTTTCTGCAAGGACCCCGGCGTTCAGACGTCAAGTTGTTGTGGCTGTGCTGAGGCACTGTAACCGTATCTCCTGGGCTCATGGCTGTATGAATAATGCAGGTGGGCTGCACCGTCTCTACTCCGAGACTTTTCCAAAGGAGCAACCAGAAAGCAAAGATGTAGAGGGGACCTTGGCCGCTGGCTCGGGCCAGCGCCCCCCACCAAGGCCACAAGGAACCGAGAGCAACCTAGAGGACAACGTGGTCGAGCTGGGAGGAGGCCACGCTTCCTAGAGGGCGAGGTCCCCACTCTCTGCAAACGGCCTGTGCACTGCGTTCCCGAATGCAGGGTGTCGGGCCCCCCTCCGAGGGTGCCTTTCGCCTCTACTGGCCTTTCTGCTGTGCCTTTCACGGTCAGGAGAGCTGCTCTGACCCCGCTGGGGACCCACCCCACTCCGGCCACGAGAAGGAAGACCCCACAGATGCAGCTGGCTGGGTGCAAAGTTGCATTTACCTGAGCAGAGGACCCTCATGTCATGTGCTGGCCAAGTCCCATGAGGCCAGGAGAGGCTGTCCAGGCCCTGGGGGCGAGTATGACCTTGGGGCAGTGACAGCTGCAGTTAAATCCAGCCCTGCTGATTGCTTCTGGGAAGTCAGGCAGAGCAGAGGTCAGCGACGGGGACCTATTGGTTTAGCCAGATGGGCACCATCCATCCTAGAGAATCAGGCCACAGCCAAGATTAGCCACCTCCGCCTGCCTCGGGGACAGCAGAGCAGGAGGCCACCAGCGGCGAACTACTGGAGGAGCATGAGGGAGGCAAACCACAGGACAAAGCCAGGCCCCTTGTGCTGATCCCAACAGGGGAGACACCGTGGCTGATCACTGGCCACCGCAACAAGCATCTTCCCAGAGCCTGAGCCTGGGGACACGGACCCAGAGACTTTGCTAAACCCACGAGACTGGAGCTGGAGCTGGGAAGACAAGATCCCTGCAGAGCCAGCCCGGGGTGGGCAGTGAATGCACCATCAACCACATGCTGCCCAGGTGTTTATAGCAAGGCGTGTGCCCAAGCGGGCGACGTGAGGCTGCATGGGGCCGTGTGTGCATGCACGGTGCTTGCGCACAGCCCTAAGACAGGCATGCTTGCCTGGCTGGTGCACGCAGGTGCCATTACCCCCTGGAAAACTCTGTGCATGCTTGTTAGCCCCTGTGGGCAGCACAGGAGCTCCCGGGGCATGGGCTGAATGCAGAGACTTCACCTCTCTTGGGCAAGCTCCGCACACGCTGCTGATTCCCTCTCAGTTGCGCTCCCGGGTGAACTATGCTCCTGCTTTTTCCTTACGAGTCCTGAGCCCAGCAAAGCCCTGGGACCCCCGGACTGCCCTTCGTGGCTGCTGCAGGCACTGACAAAGGAGCTGGGTGTGATACAAGGCTGGTTTTAAGGATGCTCCAAAAACACCTGCAGTCTGAGAGCACCCAGCAGGGCGCTGGACTGGGTCCCTGGCTGGCCTGGTGGTCGAGAGGGGATGGAGCTCCCCACGAGTGGGTCTGATGCCTTCTAGCAGAGGACTATAACCAACCCGTGCAGCGAGGTTACAACGCAGCACGAGTCCGTCCCTGCTTCCATGAGAAGTAGGATGTGTTTGCCAGCATCACTGTACGGGCCCAGCCGGATGGTTGGCAGAGACGTCAGAACGGCTCTGGGGCACCAAGCACCATCCCCAGGGCTGGGAGAGGAGGGGGACGCCCTGCGCGAGATGCCAGGTACCACCAAGGTTTAACTCCATGGCATGAGCCAACATCAGCGCCCACAGGAGGGAAGAAGACAGGAAGCCAGCAGCTCTCAGGAGCTACAAATCCAGCGGAGGGGAAGCATCCAGGAGCCGAGCCAAAGGATGCAAAGGAATAAGCCCCTGATGTCCGTGCTTGCACGGAGAGATGGTGACATCTATCGGCCACGGAGTCAATCAGCCACGTGACAGTCTGGGTGCCCAGCGCCATACGAGTGACCATCAATAATGACGTCCCAGATGCCCAGGCCTCAGCTGGCACTCGGGTGCTGGGCGCTGTCCGACCGACAACCCAAGCAGTTGATGCTGCAGTCCAACAGCTCCTGGTGCCAGCATCTACTTGGCTAACCCAAGGGGCGGGTTTGGTCCGCCCGCAACGCGAGCACGTTGCCTGGTGCTGGTATCCCAGTTACAAGGGGAGGCTAATCTGTCCGCGTCTCCGCAGCTGGGGACAAGCCGCGGGAACGGCGCGGCTGCCTCGCCGGAGAGCAGCCCTCCTGCCCAGCCCCGGGCACCCTGTCCACCCCCCATGGTGCTGGGCTGAAATCAAAGCAGGAGCCTTTTCAATCGTTGGCTAGTCCCCCCGGGATGTTGTTGTGCACAGTCCTGGTGAGACCCCCCCATCACCAGCATGACCCTCTTGCACCCAACATGCTGCAGGCTCTGCTGCCCACCTTCCCAGGCTCCGTGGGGCTGTGCCACGGCCAGATGCAGGCCTGAGCAATATCTCCATCAAATAAAGGCCTCTTGCCTAGCGACTGATGGCTGTAGCTGTACTGCCGTCCTTGGGTGGCCCCCCGCTACTGGAGAACAGACACCCCCTCACTCCCCATCCAGTCCAGACCCCTTGTGTGTCCGGCCACCCAGCTGGTGCCTATCGATTGCTGCGAGGGAGCTGCCCCCTTGCCCACAGCCCCCGGCAGAGCATCTCTATCCCCGTGGGAGCAACGAGGCTTACCTTCTGCAGTCAGATCCTACGGGCCCCCGGCACCGAGCCCGGGAGATGGGCACCACATTCCCATGGCGACTGCAGGCAAACCGGAGCCCGCAAGCGGGGCAAAGCCTGCCCCGAAGCCAAGACGACAAGCAGCAGCCGCCAGCCCCGGGGAGCTGCGAATGGCTCTGGATGAGCAGCAGGGAGAGGGAAGCCCCTCACCTGGGGTGCCCTCCAGTGCCAGCTTCTGCCCCCCTGGCTGCGCCCACCCCCCAGCTCTGTTGCTTCCCGTCCAACAGGTCCAATCCTCCGGGCCTGGTGCAGCCAGCGCCAGCTCCGGGGCTGAAAGGCGGTGCTGGCGTCAGCGCTGCAGGGCGTAAATCACAGAGACAAAGCTCCTGCCAAGCTGTGTGCGTGGCATGACACCCCCAGCCCTACCCAGAGCCTGCCCGGGATTCACCGCCCTCGCATGGATTAGAGGGCAGCACCGTGCCTAGGGGCTCAGCACCGCAGGGGGTGCTGGGCTGGATTGGACCCACCGCCAGCATCCTGTGTCTGACGGCAGCCACCGGCAGATGCCCGAGGCAGGTCCCCCCACAGCTCCCTGAGCAGAGCAGCTGAGGATTAAAGCACCTGCAAGCAGCATCCCCCTCCACTCACCTGCACAAATGCTCTCGGTCCCTGCGTTGCAGCGGGTTCCTCCCCGCAGCAAGAGGAGCCCACGGGCATGGAGATGAGGACCCCACACAACCTGGAGGGTCACGGAGCCAGGAGCCGAGTTCAACCGCAAGGAAAGGGCTTGCACCCGAGACGGAGGTCAGTCCGCACCCACCCCGTCCTTGTCCAACCTGTTCCTAGACCTGCCGCGTGGCTACAAGGCCTGGTGCCCAGGCCCCGGCAGCACCCGAACCTGCCCCAGGTCAAGCAGGGGGACGAGGGCCGACGGACAAGATCTGTGTGCGCAAGAGACCCAAGAGCTTCCTGCGAAGACCACGTCCAAGCACAGACGCACGAAAGGGCACAGTCAAGGGCACATGGGAAATCTTCCTGCCACTGCAGCTGCGGGACTGTGCCTCTTGGACATCTCCAGCTGCCCCATCCAGTATTTCACATCCAGCCACCAAGCAGCTCCCCTTCAGCCATTCGCACTGCTGCCCTGCTGCAGTCAGGATTTGGGGGAAACACCCTTTGCCGGGAGCAGCTCTGTGCTCCTTTAGCTTGTTCTGTGGGGTCACAAGATTAACCCCCAGATTTTCACCAAGGGGTGGCAGGAAATCCTGGGGCACCCCAGGCTGGGGCAGTCAGGGGTCCCCAGAAAGCTGCAGGCCCTTGTGGAAATCCCAAGCAAATGCCTTCAGGGCTGGTTCTTCTCCAGCCTGCAGCTTTCTGGACCTCCTCCCTGGCACTGGACACTGGATGTGGGCCGTACTGGTGAGCAGCTCCTTTCCTATTCACTGCCTGGGCAGACAGATCCCCTAACTAGCTCTCTCATATAGGGGTGCATACCGAGGGCTCGGCCGTGGCCACGTGGCCCAGGGAGCGGAAGAGATGGAAGCCAGAGGTACCGGGCGCAGCAATGCAGGACGCGTTCCCATGGCTTTGCCCAGAAGAGCTGCTGTTGCCCTTGGTAAGGAGGAAACATCGCTGCCAGGGGCATGGGGAGTGAGTGGCTGGTACAGAGAGGCCCCAGTGCCCAGCGCGGCGGGGGCAGGGACCCACGCACACCGGTTGCACACACATGCTGTGCACACACAACAGCGCCCATCCAGGCATCTTTTGCCACCACGGTTTCTATGCACGTGGGAGTTACAAAGGGTACCGCAGCTTGCACCCCATCCCGGGCAGCAACAGTGGCAGTGCTAGGGGATCCCGGGCATCGGGCACCAGAGGTGCCCAGGGCCGGCTCTGGGACCTCCACCCACAGTAGCACTGAGAAGCTGCCCAGCACAGACGCGGCTGCCAGTTCCTGCTCACACCCCCGGGGCAAAGGCAGTGGGGTCCGGGGCTGGGCACAGGCAGGGCCTTGGGGGAGCGGGGGGAGTGTGGAGAGCCACGGCCATGCAGGGGCCATGGTTTGAGGGGCACTTCTAGTGCTGATTCACCTGACGGGAGATTCAGCTGGGTGGAGCAGCTCTCCCAGCCCTGGGCAGCCCAGAGAAACAGCCGGAGGGGCCAAACAGCCTCTGCCCCATCCCCTCTGCACGGGCCTGTGCCCTTCTCTGGGAGGACCCCCTAGTCGAGCCTGGCCTCCCGGTGCCACTTCAGTTCACCAGCGTGTGCAACCTGAGCCCCAGCTGCACCTGCCGCTGTCTGGGCTCGAGCCTCCCTGCCGTGCAGTTAGTCACACCTGCCAGCACAAGGGTTGCACAAACGCCCAGAAACCCCGATCCCCCCACACCCCAATGGGCAGGGGCACCTCGGAGCTACAACCACCCCCCAGGAAGAACTGCCCCGAGACAGCAATAGCCTCGGGGGGCAACCCCCAGCTCCAGTGGGCTCCTCCTGCCCGCTGGTGGAGCTCCTGGGCAGCCAGGACAGGCCCAGCACAGCAGAGCCCCGACCCTACATGCCCCAGCAGCCGCAAGTGAAAACCACCGGGCACGGGGTGAGGGGCTAAACCAGGCTTTGCCGTGCCCCCCACCTGGGCAAGACTGCACCAGCACCCCACGGACAGTACCTTCCCCTGTGAGCAGGACCCACGGCTCTGGCTCACACCATGCCCGGCGGGGCGTCCTCCATGTGCTGCCTGCTTGCAGGTGTTGCTGGGCGTTGGCACTCCCTGCACCTGCAGCGCGTGCAGCCAGCGTGTCGGGTTACAGGCAGGAGGCCCCTCTGCTCCCTCTGCCTCTGTGCGATGGAGGGGCAGGGATGGCACAGGGAGCGGCTGCCTTGGCCCTAGAGAGCAGCCAACCCCCACAACTCCAGTACCTGCCCGGGCTCTGCAGCGGCCTGGGACTTGGCCGCGACAGCTGGTGCCGACATCTGGGATAATGTTGCTGGGTCCCTACAGAGGGGCTTCTCAGCGTCCCCCATGTTGGTCTCGGGGGGATGTGGGGAGGTTGCACTGCTTGTTGCAGGCTTCCAGGCTCCCTCCCCAGCAAAGCCAGGCCTCTCAGGGAAGCTCACAGCAGGGAGCTGCTGGGCAGAGGGCCGCATGGCAGGATGCTGGGCACCTGTGCAGCGCCCTCATACCCCAGTCCTGCCCAGTGCGAAGCACCAAGCTCGTCCACCAACACGGGGCTGAGCAAAGCCTCTGATCCATCCACACTATCCTGCTGCACAGCCTAATGCCAGGCCCCCCCTCCCCAAACAGCTCCAGCACTCACCTGGGTCTGCCTAGCTTCTCACCCGCCAGCCACCAGGGTCTCTGGCTTCGTACATCCCTGGGTTGCTCAGGCCTCGGCCCCAGGAGCTGCTCTCGGCAAGGGACGCGAGCCACCGGTGCCGGGGGACCACGTCGTTGGCCTGGTGGCTGTGCCGGCTGCTGCTGCTACCCCATGCATATTTGATGAGTGCTATTATTCTCATCTCCACTCATGAGCGGAGCGCGGGGGAGCCAGTTCTGCCTGCAGACCTGCTGCGGGCCAGGAGCAATGCAGCAGCTGGGGAGGTGCGGGGCAGGAGCCCAGCTGCTCCCAGGGGGGAAACAGGGGCCTTGGGTAGCTAGGAGGTGCTACTTGCCCTATGAGAGCAACACAGGAGGCTGCCCAGTCCCATCCCTGCCTGCGTGAGCCTGGAGGACTGAGGGAGGGCACGGCAGGGCCAGAGGTACAAGGAACGTTCGGTGCCTCTCCAGCGACTCGGGGCAGCGAGGCAACAGCTGCTGCCTGCAGGGGAAGGCTTGGGAACAGGGAGCAGAGTTGTCTCCCCTGCACGGCTGTTCACAGAGCAGCTAGGTCAGGGTGCAGGTGGTGCATGGGAGGCCTCTGCCTGCTGCTGCACAGGAATATCACAGCAGCCTGGGAGGTGCTGCCCCACTCTGAGTGCGCCTAAGGGGCTTGGTGGCCTCTACACCGGGCTTGGACAGCAGCCGGCCAAAGGACAAATTCCCCCAATCATGCACTGCTGTGGGGGGACAAGCCAACAGTAAGAACCGGCTGCACAACCACAGCCGCTGTCTTTGCAGGCCTAGAGAGCAATGCCTTGTGAAGCACCAAGGGCCCCAAGTTCAAATTCCCCAGGGGCTAAGGACCTGGGTACGTGGGCCCCTCCAATGCCAAGCTGTGCCCAGGCAGGAGGCCCTGGCCCCAGCCACTCCCTACTCCCCCCAAGCTCCCTGGTGCACCCCCAGCACAGCACAGCCAAGATTTATGATGTTGATCCTTCCAAAAGCAAGAGCTTAACTGCAGATTACAATAGACAGCCCCACGCCTACGGGCACCTCCATCATCAGGGAGACCTGCAGCTGTTCCTAGCAGTAAATCTTCCGGGCTGCTGCACCTGCATCCACACAGACTGTTTGCTCACAGTGACCCTGTCAGCAGCTGATGCCGTTAAGCTGTCGCCGTCGGGTAGGGATGGTTATATACGTCCCCGCGCTGTAGGCCAGATGGGATCACCGGAGCTGTGAGACGAGTCACCGGAGGCTGCACCTACCTCTCATTGAATTAAATGAATGGCCCTTCTTATTGCCTTGCAAACGATTTCTGACTCAGTTCAATTATAAAAGCAGTATCCAGTCCATCATGCAGCCCTTGCTGCCTGGACCTGCACAGCCACTGGTGGAAGGGACCAGGCCTCAGGCCCTCGCTGCATCCTGGACGCACCGGCACACCCCTTCTGCCTTCCCCCTGCTCCTGAGTCCAACACTAACAACCTAAAGTGCACGGGGATCCAAAGGGGACGTGCCTTGGAGACACTGCAGGTGCAGCTGGTGTGATGGCAGTGTCCCACACAACTCAGGAGGCAGCTGCACGAGGCCAGCTCAGGCACAATGCAGCACACTTGGAAATTACTCCCCTCCAGTCTCGCTCCGCCCTGCAAGGGTGAGCAAAGCCGCTAAGGGGACAGGTGGCAGGCAGAGCTGTCACCCTTGTGGCTTGGTCCCTGGACAATCTTTGAATTTCTTTCTCTTTGCACTCACATGCCTAACCTAGCCTATCCACTGCATAGCCCCGCCTCCCAGCAGAGCAAAGGGTGGGAGGGCAACCATTTCTACACCCATTGACTCCAGGCAAACGCAGACAAGCTCGCATGAAATAGCAACTTTTATTCTCTCAAATAAAATACTCCTTCCGTCCTTGATCGGCTTGGGGGGGAGGAATACAAAGGAGGGAAAGGGTCAGCTACCAAATTAGTCATGGTTAAGAATCCTGCGTTGGACTAAAGTCACTTTATTGTGAAAGTAACTCAAAGCTATTGGAAGCTCTTGCTCATGGAGAGAAAGAGCCAGTCTCTATCAGGCACTATAAACCGTTCAGCAATGAGACGTAATGAGGCGGCATGATCAGAGAGCCCCAGATGGCTGAGGGAAGATTTCCATCCAAGAAGCAGCATTATTTGTTTTAACCAAAAATATATCCCACTGCACAGACGCTCCTCAAGCTTGAACAGTTCCAGCTGGAATTCAGATGAGCTGATGCATGACTGGGAGACAAAAGGTTTTCTAGTATCTGGGAAGAAGGCAGCAAAGAGAACATGTGGGAGGGAGTGGTCTTGTGGAGGGGATCCCCAACAGCAGCTCTCTGACCCATGATGTGGACAGAAGTGAAGCCTCTCCAGGCCTTGGAGCTCTTCTTAGATGTCCCTGCTGCATCTTGGTGAAAAGCAGATGCGTTTGTTCCATGGGTTTCATTATTCATCTCTCAGCACAGTGGACTGAAGCAGGGCATCCTAGAAGCCACATCATGGGGCCAGCAAGTGTCCTTGGTAAGGAGGGACCTTCAAAAGTTCTCTCAGACATGAGAGTCGGGAGCCCCAACCTGCTGAGATGGTGAAGGAGGAAGCCAGAACAGCTGTGAATTGCAGTGGGGCTGGAATCAGAGGAGCTGGGAAGGGACAGTTTTGTTCTCACTTTAAATGTGTGCCTAGATTAAGAGACACAAGCAGGTGCAAATGGGAGGCGATGGACTTCCTGTCTAGCATCAACACCCTGGAGCAAAGTCACATCTGCATGCAGGTTTCTGCCTGACCAGAGGAGTTGTCGGCAGGTGCAACACACGGACGCATGCGAAGTCCATGGAGGTGTAGAAAGCTGTGGGGGTGAGTTTTGCTGCAAAAGAACAGGCTCTGTGGTTCAGCATCCAGAGACGCAATGAGCTGCCTGGCCTGAAATGTCCCCAGGTGGGAAAACCCTCCCCGCCCCCAGCCCCGCCAGGTACTAGCATCTTCCTTGTCTCTCCCTGTCTCCATGGAACAAGTTTTGCTGAAGCCCTGGTGGCTCTGGAGCATGTCAGTCTGCTGCCGGCTTGGATGTGGTCACGAGAAGTCAGCTCTGATTTTCCAGACGTGGACAAGGTCAGGCACCGGTGAACAGAAGCTCAGAGGGCTACTTCTTGACAATCTGGATGACATCTTCATGCTCCATCATATGGGTTAATCCTACTCTCTGAGGGCTGTATTTTGTGCTGGTTCCCTTTGAACCAGAAAAAAGCCAAGGGTTGGAACGCGTCAGAAAGGGACACAAGGAAATCCAAGTCAGTGACTGGCGAACACTTACCCACACCAAGGCATATTTGAACTGGCTGGCTAACGACCTGTGGATCCGATGGCACTGCAATAAGACAGATGGATGGACAGAGTTAAATGATGCAGCTGCTTCGCTATATACTGGCTTCTGTTTTATCCAGGTTCTCACAGCCTGCCCATCATTGTGTTACAGGACCAGCTGAGAATCTGATTTGGAACTCCTGTCAACATCTTACAAGCCTCCTAGTCCCTGTGGCACTCCACACGTAACATCTAGGTGCTAGAAACAATGGGTCCCCACTACCTTACAACAGGTGCCCGGGAGGGGTATTTCTGATTGTGGCCAAAATAAAACAAATGCACTAGAATCACAGCCTACAAAACATTCTCACAGGAAGCACTGCAGCAGTAGCTCCATTGAGCGAGGCCCTGGAAGTAGGTAAGCATACTACTGCAGCTTTGTTCCCTTTCCTTTGGTCAGACTCTTAAGCATCTCCTTCCTGATTATGGATCTTACTAGGTAGGCCACACTAAAGACAGCCTGCAGGACCACAGAACATCACCGCATGCACCAGGGCTTGTCACAGACCACCTGAAATATGCAGAGTCCAACTGCCAGGCTTGGGTAAGACATCTGATTGGAGTCAGTAAGTTCTTAACATCTTTTTACTTACCACGTGCTCTACAGAAGCCCCTTTCCGGAGAATGATGGCATCTGTGAAGTCTGGTCTCTCTACACAGCACAGAACAAGAGGGAGAGAATAGCACCACTCACCCAAGAGCTAGATTTTAAAAAAGCCAACACAATCAGGCAGTGCACTGGTTATGGACAGCTCAAGCCCTCCCCCACAATTCCTCCTGCCACCTGACTGATCTTGTCAAGGCTGCTGCCTAATTAATGCTAGGAGGGACCCTGAAAATGGGGAGAGGTTGGTTCAAGATGAAAACCCCCCAGGGCAAAACCTGGCTGCGGTTCAGCTCTTGTACTGTCGAGGCACAAAGACAAGAGCTGTGAAGGGACAGGGGCAACTTTGAGTCTGAATGGAGCAGTGTTCCCTGTACTGGGGACAGTGTAACCCACTGCCGATGCCCCAAGAGAGCAGAAACTTCTGGGTAGTGTGGTGCCCAATGCCCAACACCCCTGACAGCCAACAAGAGCTGGGCACCAGCTGCCACTGGGGCTTTGAAGGGCCCTGCCAAACTCCCGACTGCTGTGCTGGCTTACGTCCTCTCTTCTTTGTGTAGATGCAGGTAAGCGCCAGATATTCCCACAGCTTCTCCAGCAAGTAGTCTAGGTTCAGCTTCATTCCGCAGCTGCAAGACACCACCAACATTTTGACTCTTTCTCTTTGCACTCACTTGCCTAACCTAGCCTATCCACTGCATAGCCCCCTGCCTCCCAGCAGAGCAAAGGGTGGGAGGGCAACCATTTCTACACCCATTGACTCCAGGCAAATGCAGACAAGCTCGCATGAAATAGCAACTTTTCTTCTCTCAAATAAAATACTCCTTCTGTCCTTGATCGGCTGAGGGGGGAGGAATACAAAGGAGGGAATTGGTCAGCTACCAAATTAGTCATGCCCCTCTCCTCTGGAGTCCACAGAAACCCTGCTGAGAAGCTTATGAAGTGCTAGGTGACACAGGGAAGCTTTCCAGAAGGCCTAGCAGAGGCAGAACTTACAGAAGGAACTAAAACCTGCTTTCAAAAAGGAAGCTAGCCTAGAAGTGGCAGGGCCCCCAGACAGAGATAGCGCCAGGTCTTATTGAATAAGCCAGGAGACCTGGCTAGTTCAAGCTTGCGTCTGCCTTTTCACAGAAGGAAGCGATTGCCTACCTGTTAATAACAGAGCAGAGCTCCTCAAATGGACAGCTCAGCACACTGGCAAGCTCATACCTGATCACGACGCTGTGGGGCCTCCTAGCCAGGCGGTCAACTTCCTCCATGGAGATCTGATCAATCTTGTTGTAAACCTGATTCAGAAAGGAAATGCCATCACTAGCACACACAGAAGGAGCTGCACTGCTAAGCCTGCCAGCCGCTTAATGAAGAGACGCCAGGGCCCAGCATAAGAATACGACTCCCCACATCATCGAGGGGGGGATGGTCAGAAACTCAGATGCCGAATGAACTGGTACCTTTTCCTACGTTAATGTTTTTATCTTTGGGGTCAACCTGGAGCACTTTGTTCTTTAGCCTCCTGGTTTTAATTAGAAGGAGCAGAACTTTATCCAATGAAGCCCTCCAGATGTGCAGTGCACCTGTCACCTACCAGAGCTGGATATGCCGAGACACTATAGTCATCAGCGACAAACCAAAAAGAACTTTCAGCCCCCAAAACACAAGCCCCTATCCTACGTTTGAGCAGCTATCAGGCATACAACTGGCTACATCAATCACGTGACCAGCCACACAAGGGCACTGGATGGCACCAAGTACATGACACCGTATCCTGTGACACAGAAGCTCTGCGATTAACCCCAAATCCAACTGTCTCAAAATAAGGCATATTCAGGGTCAAGGACATTAGATACTGAGGTGCCTCAATCTCTAGGGCCCCCCTAGCGACACAGAAATCAGGAGGTCTCTGGGATACTCACGTATAAGCACGGCATGTAGACTCTGTTGCCAACAATCACGTCGATGAACTCATCAGGGCTACAGTCCTCTCGAAACAGAACCTCAGCATTGAAGATTTCTGAGGTGGGCATCGTTAAGGCAGAAAATACTCGCTCGCCTCAACACCGAGGGCAGCCTTTGCTTAGGCTTGACTCACTGGTGCCACATAGGGGTATGCGGTGGTGAAAGAGGGGCAGGCTTTCTCTCCCCTGACCTACTGCTCTTAACTATATCATCAAGAGCTTTAATACTGTATCTGGCCACCACATCATCATGATCAATGTGCTCTGCAGTCAGCATTGGAGATGCAATCAGGCCTCCATCCTAGCTTATCTCTGCCCAGCCAGCTGCTAATTGGAGGGATGGGATCTCAGTCAACTGAGGTGGCCCCAGCCTGGACTCTGTGCAAAAGGATACTGTATTCATGGAGAATGAGCTGCACCAGCTTCTCAGAGCACTGTGTCAGTGTGACTGTCGAGTTGAAGGAGATGCCTCCACCCTTCTTTGGCTGCATGAAGGGAACAAAGAAACTTGAACATTCAGCCAGAGTTTAGAGCCCCTCTGCTCAGTGGAGACAAAGGGGAGGAAGAACACAGCACAGACTGCACCTGAAAAGCCTCACCTTGAAGTAGATGTTTGGTTTGCTCTTATTCAGGCGGATTCCGACAGATTCCAGCTCCCTTTCCAGGAGACACCTGCAGGGACGCTGAGGATTAGCTCCTGCTACACAGGGCTCGGCCCAGCAAGAGGGACAAGAGCTTTGGTGTGGAGCACCTTCACCTGGATCTTTATTGCAACTCTGACAGAAGCCCTCCCCTGAAGCATAAGATCTGCTCAGGACCCAAAGACTACAGCCTAGGTAGGAAGATGTAAAGACACCTGTACATGAACCATTAGCCTTGTGCTAATGAACATCCAACCACAAAGTCTGAGCTCTATAAATGCTACCCCCAAGTTACCTAGGAGGTGTTTCCACCCAAGGTCTCAAGCACCACGTTTCCATCCCATGCGCAGCCCACATGTCCGAGAACTGGCGTTCTCCACTGATCTACGTGGCCTGGTCCTGCAGAAAGCAGCCTATTAGCCAGCACTCCAGGCCCTCACCTCTGGACTTCACCCTTTGTAGCGTCCAGCATCATGATGACAACATCCGCAGTCCTGGCCACGGCTATCACCTGACGGCCTCTCCCCTTCCCTGCAAAGGAAGGAAAAGGTTACACCGCGGGGAGGAGAACAGGGCAGAACAGCTACAGCTTTATGAAACTCAAAGACTTCCTCAGATGAAACTTCTTAGAAACCACAAACGAACTGTGCTTTGCTGTTACACCCCTGTGCTGGCTGTAATCTCCTGGTGGGCGGGTGTTGTGTGGGCAGGGCTAAGGCCCTTGGACATGACCATGGACTGAAACATGCTGCAGTCAGACAAGAACACAAAGCCACAGCTTGATGCCTAGACCCACAGAGAGAACAGCGCAGATAGACCTTAAAGGGGCTGGACATTGGGTGGGAGCAGGAAGAAAAGGATGTACAGGCTGGATGCTCTACAACTCCCTCTGCCGGCAGGCTGGGGAAGCATGCCAAGTCCAGCAGACAGGGGGATGCCCATGTGACAGTTGAAATGGGTGGCTGCAGTGTTCAGATATAGCAGAGGCGGCTTTTAAGTAGGTGGCGGTGTAGCTGTAGCAGGGAGCTCAGCATGGGCTTGCTGCCAGGGCATTACCCAGTCGCCGCTGAGCTCAGTGCTGTCACAGCTCTGCTATCAGCACCAAAACAGCTGGTTGAAACTTATCTCCCATGTCCACATGATCCACAGCGATGCCCTTGACTACAGTGCACACATGCCTAGCGTACATGCATTGGTCTGCTCCCATGTGACAGACAAGCTACCCAGCCCCAAGCCACAGTGCCAATCTGCTTGGACCAGACAGAGTTAAGAACCCTCCATCCTTTCAAGCACCACTCTAGTCAGAACCAAACGTCAGGAGACATTTATACATCTAACAAGACTCCATTAGACACTGCAGGAGGAGAGAAGCAGGATTAACTCCTTTTCCTAAGTCAAGGAAACAAACTAGCCAACAAAACCCAGAGAGGAGAGTTAATCCTGTTACTTGGCTCAATTTACCCTTCAGCCTCTCCTCCAGTTTCTCTCTCTAGTGACCACTACCCATGGCTTCCTGAATATCAGCAAGACTAGCATTCCTGCCAAAAGGTGAATGCTGGAGCAGAAGCCAGCTAACTACGAAAGCAGCATCTCCGGCAATGTATGCAGGCTTCTGTGTGTCCAGAAATTCCGCAGCTATCGTGCCTTGCATCCAAGACCCCAGGGCTGTCAGCCTGGGGGAATTCAGGGCCGAACTGGCAAGTCTGGAAACACGGGGATTTCACACATACTAATAATGACCATAATGCCAGTGCCAGCCCACCTTGTGCAGCTCCTTCGATGATCCCAGGCAGATCCAAGAGCTGAATGTTTGCGCCTTTGTACTGCAGAAGAAGCAGAAATAGGAAAGATTTAACATGACCCTCCAAGACACCTGCCTTTTTAGCCTTGAGCAAGGAGCTAAACAAAATGCCCATGTACGAAATCAAGGAAGCTGCAGCAGGAAGAGGGCAACTCGCAGTCTGGCTCAGTCAGTTCACAGCTCCCTGGAGCAGGAAAAAAATTTGCAGAGATTTGACCATTGAACCGTTTTGATAGCTTCACAGAAATTCCACTTCTCCCTCCCTCTGAAGCTGCAGCAATTAATGCTGTCACCACTCCCCCACCACTGAACTTCTGGACTCGTGGGGGAGCCCATGGGCCAGATAACACTGGTCTAACAAGTCAGAGAAGCTAAGTGAACACTGCTGCCCCCGGCTGGATTCAGAGCCATTAAATCATGCCGCAAGTTCTAATGCAATATAGTAACAGAAGTGCTCTTTTTGCTCGAGGCTAAAGGTCACTTGCTTTTTGGAGCAGGCAAATCCACAGCAGCAGTAAAATCCTAAGTGATCTAACTATGCAGCATAGCAAAGGCAGGCAGGGGGCTCAGATTTGTGAGTGTGTTCCAGCTTCTATGGCCATCAAGTTTGATCTTTAACTCCCCTTCAGTTTTGATCCCTGCATCTGCATTATCCCCAGATGCTTTTCAGTTTAAGGCTCTTTACAATTTTCTTACCCGATGGGTGGTTGGGGCACCAGCAATAAAACCCCTCAAGGATAGGAGCCAGCCTGTTTTCTCTTCCAAATTGATTATAGCACAGATTGCCTGCTTTAAAGCATCATTAAAAACAAATCTGTCAAGGCTTCCAGCCATCTGGTCAATGGCACCAAGAGCTGGTATAAAAAATTCAGCTGAGGATCTGAATTTGCTCTATGGTCAGTCTAACTGCAGAAGCCATGCCTGCAAGGCAGGCTGTCAGTCTTGAAGGAGGAACACTGCCTCTGAGAGCTCTGACTCAGCATGGCCAGCTCCAAGAGACTCAACACGGCTGATGATCACAGGCTTTCCAACACCTTCCAGATGCAGTCAGCTGTGGAGTAGGGGCCTTTGGATGCACCTGCATCTTAGCCTCTGTAGGTCGAAGTGGCATATGTATGCAGACACACGTGCAGCTCCACATGCTTACAATTTTCTGCCTAACTATGTCAGTGGTAAAGGAATTGCACTTACTTCTATGACACCCGGAATACACGTCAGTGTTGTGAACTCGTAAGAGGCAGCTTCGCTGGCTGTGGAGGTCATTAGGCTCAAGAACGTGGACTGAAAAGGAAGAGATCAGCATTTCAAACAGATAAACAACCAGTAGCACCAGTGACTGTGTGAAGACTGATGGCAAAAATGTGCATCATTAACTGCCAGACCCAGCTGGGGAGGAACCTACTTTAGTTTTCAAAGCCACGTGCTGTGATTATATGGGGTATGGGAACTGTAGAGGGATGGAACATTCAGCATGTTCTTTAGAACATGTATGGTTAAAACAGGGACTACAGATTCTTAGCTGACTACCTGGAGCAGCTTTTGTGACCCCTTTGTTCCTGCAGGTTACTGCTTGTTTGCCTCTCAGCACTCTCCCTTCCCCACTGACTGCATTCTGATCGCTCACAACACTTTATACTCTGCTCTATGCTGTCCCTTCACAGCATTGGACGAAGCTAACTTGAGTTCAGGAAAGCTTGTGCTCTCTCTGGATTGTATTTAGTTAGCCTGTAAGGTGGAGATATACCCTGCTTTTAGAATGTCAGTCACCAGGCAAGTCTCACAAATTTGTCAGTGGTGCAGGCATTGAATGGGAACAAACAGAAAGGTTTGGGGCTCCATCAAGCAGCCTTGTGGGGGTTGAGGGGAGGAGGTAGAGAAGAACAAGGAAGCATCCGCAAGGTTTATTCATTCACGGCTCAGAGACTGAGTCACGTCTTTCCCATTCGTTTGTGACCAGCCCTTGAAAAGTTAAAATACACAGAAAGGCAAGCGAGCAGAGCTGGCAACAAGACAAGCCGAGAAAGACGGGATGACAAAGGCAGGAGAAGTGGGGGGGGCGCGTGCTGGACAGTCCACTCTGATACTCACTGACCTTACCCACAGAGGGAAAGCCGATCAGTGCTACCCTGGCATCTCCAGATTTCATCACATCAAAGCCTTCACCTTTCCCCGCAGAGGATTTGGAGGGTTCCAGCAGCTGCGCTCGGTATTTGGCCAACTTTGCCTTCAGCAGACCAAGGTGATACTCCGTAGCTGAAACCCCCCACAAAAACCCAGCGGTTAGTAACTCAACAGCCAGGGACAGCACCAGACCTCTGAGCAAGCCAAGTATTTGGGACATAAAAGCACAGAATGGGCTGCACTGCGTTAACTATTCACTGTCCATTAGCCCTGGTGACAGGTTGGCTCTGCAGGAAAGGCAGAAACAAAGGCAGGTGCTGCTTTAAGAAGCCCCGGAACAGGGAAAGGTGGGAGGACTCCTGCAGGCTCTGGGGCTCCGTGCTTTTCTTCCCTTGCTTTAGGCAGGCGGTCTCTCCCCTCCTTGGGGAGATGTGCCCCCCTGCACAGGACTGGCTGAGGGAGCTGGACTTACTTAGTCTGCAGAAAACAAAACTGGGGGGGATCTGACAGCAGCCTTCAGCTCCCTGCAGGGGGGCTGCAGAGAGGATGGAGCTGGACTGGTCTCAGTGGGGACAGATGGCAGGACAAGGAGCAATGGGCTCAAGCTGCAGCAAGGGAGGTTTCAGCCAGACATTAGGCAAAACTCTCAGGAGAAGGGTGGTGAAGAAGTGGGACAGGCTATGCAGAGAGGTGGGGGACTCTCCATCCTTGGAGGTGTTTAAGCCCCGGCTAGACAAAGCCTTGGCTGGGAGGACGTAGCTGGGGCTGGTGCTGCTTGGAGCAGGGGGGTGGACTCGATATGACCTCCCGAGCTCCCTTCCAACCTGAATTTCCTGATCCCTGAGCCCTCCAGCACAGCAGTGTCCGAGATCCAGCCTACGTGCCAGACCCGGCCTGCAGATTTCATAGATACTGGGGTCAGAAGGGGCCTCAGTAGGTCATCGAGTCCGACCCCTTCCCTGGGCAGGGGAGAGCGCTGGCGTCAGACACCCGCAGCCAGGAGCTTGTCCGGTCTCCTCTCCAAGACCCCCGGGTCGGGGCAAGCACCCCCGGAGCCCGTCCCAGACTCTGGCCGCCCTCGTGGTGAAGACGCCCGTCTAAATCTCCGTCGGTTTGCGGCCGCTGTTTCTAGTTACTCGGAGGGGCGCCTTGGAGTAAGCGGCGCATCTCCGGTGCCTGCTCGCCGCTGACGAATCTGTCGACGGCGGAGCCGCATCACCCATGCGCCCACTGAACCGGCCCCAGCGGGGCCTGCCCGGGACCCCCCCGCTCGCCGCCAGTCCCGGGCGGGCGCGGGAGCCGCGGGGCCCTGGGCACCGCCACGAGGATCGCTGGCACGTGCGGCACCGCCTGAGAGGTGGAAGGGGGAGCCGCACCCTTGTTCTTCTGCGTGCGGGCGATCT